TTTATGTTATCCCATTGCCCTCTCCTGATTCTGTTATTTCTGCTAGGAGCCAGCTGCTAATCTCAGTGCAGTTCCCTTGTAAGTGACTCATTCTGTGGGTTCTTTTAAAGGTTTCTCATTATCTTCCATCTTCAGCATTTTTACTCTTATGTGTCCATCTGTGGTTCGCTTTATGTTTATCTTACGTGGAGCTCTTGGAGCTTCTTGCATGTTCAGGCTATTGTTTTTCAATACATTTGGGAAGTTTTTTGGTTATCATTTTCTTGAATATTTTTTCTGTTCCTCCTGTCTCCTAGTAGGTACTCCGTTTACATGTGTGTTCATGATTTCATTGTGTCCCATATTCCTCTCAGGTTTTCTTTCCTTTTTCTTTTTCTTTTTTTTCCTCTTCTGCTCTTTGGTTTGTGTAATGTCTATTATCTATCTGAGTTTTCTAATTCTTTTGCTTGTTCAAATCTGTTGGGTGTCTCAGGTGAGTTTTTAAAGTTATTGTACTTTGCAACTCCAGAATTACAGTGTTTTTATTTTTAATTTATATTTTTGTTAACATTCTCTATTTGAAACAGATTGTAATCCTACCTTTTTTTCCTTAGGCATACTTTTATAATAACTACTTTAAAATCTTTTCTGTTCATTATGAAATCTGGATATACAGGTGGTTTTTGTTGCTTGTCTTTTTCTGGTCTGTGGTTTATTCTTTTCTGTTTTTCTGCATATCTAGTAGATTTTTGATGCAAACAGGACATTTTAGATAATATACTGTAGCACTTCCGGGTACTGGTGCCCCCTCCCTGCCCTATTCCAGGGCTTGTTATGTGTTCCTAGTTTACTTCCTGGTTAGATTGTTGTAGTGAACTACGTTTCTTTCTCACTGTGTTACATGGCTTTGAAAGATCAGATACCTCCACAGGGAGGTATAGTTTGGGGCCTGCCCATAGCCACCCTGGGATGACCTGTGTGGTACAGGTAGGGGGCTCTCTCCCACTTTCTCTGATCACACCCAGCCGTTCAACTCCACTAATTTTGGCCCTTTGCTCTGTTGTTTTCACTAGTGCCCTGGGGCATAAGTTCCTCTATAGACAATCCAGTCATACTGGTTCTTTCCAGGGATTACTTCCTGAGGTTAATATGGGGTATTTGTTCCAACCAAAGGAAGGTTCCTCCCAGCTGTCTTATTCCCTGGTTCTCTTCTCAAACTAGCTGGCTGGGGAAATCTAACTAAGGGAATCTAAAACTGAGTTCTGTAGTTTGGTATCTGACTTCAACAGTGGGAACTTTATTTATAGTGGAACCTCAGCTAGGATTCATGATTTTTCTAATGCTGCTGTTAAATATTAGGCAGGCTTAAGCAGAACTGCATCTACTTAGCTATTACTAAAAGTAGGGGTTTCTGCCTCATGTTTGAGGAGCCAGAAAGCCTTGTAAGGTTAAGTAGAACAGTAAGTTGGTGTGAAATTAATTTTGAGTGGTTTATGTTAAAACCTGTGGAGTATCTTTTTTTTTTTTTTTTAAAGGTTTTATTATTTTTTGGCAGAGACACAGTGAGAGAGGCAACACAAGCAGAAGTGGGAGAGGGAGAAGTGGGCCTTCCTCGTAGCAGGGAGCCTGATGCAGGGCTGGATTCCAGGGCCATGGGATCATGACCTGAGCGGAATCAAGGCAGACACTTAAGGACTGAGCCACCCAGGTGCCCCTGTGGAGTATCTTTTTATACATACTCACTATTCGTGTCTTTGTACTATCTTTACTTTTTAAAATATTTTCTTTACCTTGATTGCTTGGGATCTTTATCAAACAAATAGGATGATTTCTCAAACTGCCTATTTGGGATATATATACCCTTTTTTCCATGAAAAGGAGAAGGCTTCTTGCTAGGCAAGAACTGCCAGCCTTCTGGGTAGGAGTACTCGTTCCTCTGGGACAAGTCAGTCAGCCTGGGTACTGCACTGCCTTTCCTCCTCAAGCGCCCATCTTGCTTGGTCCCTGTGGGGCCTGAGTGGTAAGGAAGGGGGAGAATGCAGGGGACTGACTCTCCTGGCTGTTAGTGCTGCTGGTGCTGATGGATTATCCAGAAGCTGTCCCTTGAGTCCCTCTCTGGGTCTGGAGACCTCTTGTGTTTACCCACTTCTTGGCAGGAAAGCTCCTGTCTGCATGTTTTAGGCTGTCAGATGTTCTTGTTTTCCACATTTCAGATATCCCTCACAAGTTTTCAGCCACAGAGAACTCTGGTTTTCTGTCACAGATTCTGAGTTGTGGATGTTTGTTTGTTGTTAGTCTCATGGTCTTGGGTTAGAAGGGAAGGCTGCAGTGTATGCTCCGTCTATCATTTGGAAAACCCAAAAGATAATGAAAATGTATTTGAAATGAATTGATTTTGGGGTTCAGAGTGGCTCCTTTTATCTGCCCTTTGATTAAGATCTCTCTTTAACCAGCAAGAGACACATTGGCATTGTATTTGGCAAGGCTTTTAAGGAGTGAATTCCTTTGTTGAGCATCAAAGTCTTCTCTTGAAGAAACTCTGAATTCATGTAATTAGCATGTTGAATATATCTGCAGTAATTCTGAGAGGAAAATGTATTCACAGTCTTCTTACTGGAAATTCCTGGAATGCCCTCTTTTTTTTCCCAAAATTAATGCCTCCCTCCCACCTGCCCCTCCTCCCCTGCTTCCCCGAAACATGCTTCATTTTCTAGGTAGTATAAATAGAACTTCTCATGCAGCTATATACTCAGCATTCATTGAGGAGCTGCAGTATGCCTAGTGGTGTACTACGGACCAAGGGCAGAGGCTGTTAGCAAGCCAATGGCCTCCTGTTTTTGTACACACAGTTAAATTGGAGCACATTCATAGCCATATTGTTTATGGCTGCTTTCACTCTGTAAAAGCAGATATGAGTTGTTGCAACTGAGATCATATGGCCAAGTCTAAAGTATTTTTAACCTGATTTCCTGGGGAGCATAAAGACGGTGAGTCTTGATTCACCTGAGAGTGGTGTCTGGCTTGATGCAGAGAAAGGAATGTGTGGACTTTGGAGTGTAGAGGCTAGATGGAGAGGTTGATAGCTGACTGCCTTTGTAGAGTTTGTTTTTGTTTTTTGAGGGAGAGTTTATCAGGTTGTCCTCTATTGAAATAGACACCATCAAAATTGACCTCTTACTTTCCTTACCATTTTATCCTATTCATTCTGATCAGGCCCTTTTTCCTGATACACAGTATATGTGTACAGAGCAGTATCTGAAAGCTGCTGCTCTGTTCCTTCCTTAAATCCCTTTTGTGATTGTCTTTTCTCCCAATTATAAATGTACATTAAAATGCAGTCTCATTCCTTTCCCTCTCTCAGAGATAACAACCAGGGTCTCAAAATCATTCCCTTGCTTTTCTTCTTATGCTTTCACTGTGTATGTTGTACTCAGCCCTGAACAATACCTGTTATTATTTTTTTGTTTTAGAACTTTCTATAAATGGTACTGTTTGTATTCTTCTGAAGCTTGGTGGATTTTGGTTTTGTTTTTTGTTTGTCTGTTTTTTGGCTCAGTATAAATATATTTGTGACTGTCCTTTATTTCTTTGACTCTCCCTTGTGTCTGACATTCTGGTATATGGACATCCACAGTTTAACATTAATCCATTCTGTGGGCTCTTTTTCCCACTAATTAAGTTGGCCTTTCCATTTTTTTTAATAGTCTTACTGAAATGTAATTTATATGCTGTAAAATTCACCTGTTTAAAATGTACAATTCAGTGGCTTGTATACAGAATTGTTACCACTACCTAATTTTAGAACATTTTATCACTCCCAAAAGAAATGTTGCACCCATTTGCATTCATTTCCTATTACTTTTCTCCTCCCCCACCCCCAGATTGAAACTCATCTGTTTCTATCTCTATAGATTTATCTATCCTGGATTTTTCATATAAATGGAGTCTTCTGTGGTCTTTGGTGACTGGCTTTCACTTAAAATGTTTTTGAGGCTCATCCATGATGACGTGATGGCTTTTAAGTTCACAATGTTTTACTGTTACAAATGATGCTTTTATATGCTTTATGGGAACTTTTTATTTTAATGACTTACTAACAGTAAAAATTTGGTCTCATGTTCTTATCATTCACTGAAGCTCTGGAAGAAAAAACAAAGGTAATATTCATTACAAAAATATAATTGAGGGGTGTCTGGGTGGCTCAGTCGATGAAGTTCCTGCTTTCAGCTCAGGTCATGATCCCAGCGTCCTGGGATGGAGCCCATGTCAGGCTCCCTGCTAGTGGGCAGTCTGTTTCTCCCTCTCCTGCCCCTCCTCCTACTTGTACGCATGCGTTCTCTCTCTCTCTCTCTCAAGTAAGTAAATGCAGAAGGAGAAGCAGTTAGTTTTCTGAGGGATGTGTATGAAGAATTATAAAATGAATGACGTTTCATCTCAGTCTAGACTGTGGAAAATCAGCAAGGTTTCAGAAGGTGGGTGTGGGCAGGAAGACAGAAGGAGAAACTACGCAGAGGCAGGAGATGGAAGAGGGTTTTCTAGGAACTTAGAAGAGATGGGGTTGGCCTAAATGATACTGTGGCAGGCCAGAAGGCTAGTAAGGGTCAGTCTTTGAGGCAAGTGATGATGCAGTGATGGTCATAGCAGTGGGACTGAGAGGAAATGAAGTGGCGAGGCCTTTTTTTCAGGTTAGATTGATGGACTTACTGATAAATGGGTTGGGGGCAGAGAAGAATTCTAAGATGACTCCCATAGTTTCTCACTTGGACAACTGAACAGTTTGAGATTTTGATAAATATCCTTCACATAGTTGAGATTAACTTGTGTTGGAAACTATCCACTTTCCACAGATCAAATATCTGTATTAGTTTGCTTTAAGGAGTAAAATCATTTCTTACCTTATAATTTAAAGATGGCTTAAACTGTTTTACTTCCAGTTAGAAGGGAAACGGGTTTATACTGAGCCTAGGATATGTTAATTTTAGACTTGAACAATCAAACTATTATTGTCACTTTTCTCGTAGCCAAAAGAATGCAATGGTGTAAAGATCCCTGTTGATGCCAGTAAACCAAATCCAAATGATGTGGAGTTTGATAATCTGTATTTGGATATGAATGGAATCATCCATCCCTGTACTCATCCTGAAGACAAGTATGTAATCCATTTTTGTCACTGATAGCAGAAGTTACAGGGGAGTATTGTATTCTGTTATGTTGTTTGTTTGTCCTTATAGACCAGCACCAAAAAATGAAGACGAAATGATGGTTGCAATTTTTGAGTACATTGACAGACTTTTCAATATTGTAAGACCAAGACGACTTCTATACATGGCAATAGATGGAGTGGTAAGTGCTAAGAAAAAGTTAGCTTATAATCCTCTGTTTTTGTTTTTGCTGTGTTCCCGAGTGTCTAGAGTGAAAGTCAGCTAAATAACGAAAAATGTTGACTGTGGTGAACTTGAGAAAGGCAGCCTGATTCTTCAGTCATGCATTTAGATATTTCTTGTACCTATTTTGTGCCAAATATTGTGAGATACTGGGATAATGGTGACTGCCCTTTCTTTTGAAGGGCTTAAAACGAGCAGGGTAGTTACTCGTGGGCTTTAAAGGTATTAGATACTGTACTATACAGCACAGTACTGAAGGAAGAGGAAATCAGTGCTACTAAGGGAGCTAAGAGATAGGAGGTGACTTTTGTCCCATTTCTTGAAGCATAAAGAATGATGGGAGATTGGTGGGCAGTGGAGGGGGATCAGTGGGATAGATAGGAAGAGTGAAGAGCTTCTGGATTTCTCAAATGGGCCCCGTAAATATACTTCCCATGCCTTTGACCACACTAACACATTTGAGCAATTACAGGTGTTTTAGATTGGAAGGGGAAGTAGAGCAATGTCTTGAGAAGGCTTTATTGCCATGCTTAAGAGTTTGGATTTTCTCCTATGGGCAATGACTAGTCCTCAGAATACTTTAAGAGGGCAATAACTTACTGACCTAGGGTGATATGTCCCATATCAACTAGCTTAGCTTATAAATAACCAGCAAACTATATATCAGCATTCAAGGAAAATTAAATCATAACCCTAAAATTTATTTAGCTATACACAAACAAGATTATCTTTCTTTTAGATTTAGTAATCCTAGTGGCTAATGGAATGATTTTAAAAATCTAGAAGATTAATTTTTCTGTGAGGTTCTCTTTATACAATGAAAAATCTTAGTTACTTGATAACTTGGTAAGTTGCAGTTGAAGTGCAGTGAAGAATAGAGGGAACAGGAATATCTTTTTGGTGCTTATTTCCATTCATATTAGTGAAAGGTCTTGAAGAAAATCTGTCATTTTACATCCAGTGTTCCCTTACTGCTAGATCAAGTATAAACTGTATGCATACCTGTATGAGCGTCTGTATGTCTATCTGTCTGTTTGTATGCTCAGGTGCGTAGCATGTTTTTGTTGAAATATATGTGTGGATCAAAGAAAATGGTTCTTGAAAGAGTTAGGTTAGGTGGTCTTATTTTATAGGAAAAGGAACTATTTAAAAGAGAATTTAAAATAACTTATTTTATGTAGACAGGATGCTTGAATCCCTTCCAGTCCCAAAACTCAGTTCAGGAATTTCAAAATCTTAGAGTCCAGTTCATTTCATTCAAGCTTATCCAGTGATTTTAAATTATATTTGGTCAGAGTAATTCAAAAGTATTTTCAGTTAAAACCTTGTTCTCTTTCTAGTTGCTTTGCTTTCTTGTAGAGACAGAGTGGTTATTGTGGAACATACAATATAGAAGTACCTTGAGGTCCTACAGATTAAGAAGTTGTTTTCTTTAGTTTTTATGGGACAGGGTGAATCTCGTTTGGAGACCATTCTTCCTTTTAGGCATGGACATAAGGTCTTCTTGATCCTGGTTCTGTGCTAGTATCTGTTCATTTTATGCTAGCTAGGTGTTTGAGTAAAGTGAGCTGCCCTTGGGTGCCTTGAAGCACCATAGCCCAGTAGAAGTGGCTTTGGATTGTGGGCTCTTTAGTATTAAGTGGCTTGTTAGGATGTTTGTCCATTTTACATGTCACTCACGTACATGACTGAGGCCAGCTTTTAAGGTCTTCATCCAAATTTAAGTTCTCAGGATTTACTGTCATGAAAGGATTATTAGATATATTAGATATTAGGTATATTACTTTTCCATTTTAGTGTATTATTTTTATAAGAACACCTAATTGAAAATAATGGATAGATTTTGTTACATGTATTTTGAATAGTATAGTATGACTATCTAATAATGTTTTTAGGCACCGCGTGCTAAAATGAACCAGCAGCGTTCCAGAAGGTTTAGAGCATCAAAAGAAGGAATGGAAGCAGCAGTGGAGAAGCAGCGAGTCAGGGAAGAAATATTGGCAAAAGGTAAAGAATGTGCATCTTGAACTTGGACTTCTAAAAGAAATGTATATAGAATGGGGGAGAGGTGTCAGCTTTCTGTTATAGTAGGTATGGTTTTAATTTAATTGGGATCTAGAATATCCAAGGAAAATTTATGTTCACTGTCAAAAAGTAGTTAATAGAATCCTTCGTTCCCACTAACTAGCTTTTCTTTTCCCAGCTCTGTAGTAAAAGGGAAACCTAGGAATAAAAGGAGGGAATTCTGGTAGGGAGAGCTGTTTGGCAGCCCCTTTCAAGGCAAGTGCAGCTCTTCAGCTAACTTTGATGTATCTGTAAAGGAGGAATATATTAAGAGTGCCTCTTACTTTTCTTTTCAATGGGGGCTGTTAGAAAGCTACAATTCTGTAAACATTTTCCTTAAATCAGTCTGGGTAGCTTGCTTATTACTTTCCCTTAGAACTCAAAGGTCTGTAAAAGGAGGCCCAGGATGACGTGATCCATATTTACAGGCTTTCACTTAAGTCAGGCACACTTCAATAGAGGAGAATGCAACAGGCACTAAGGCAGTGAAGTACCCAGGGTTCCCTTGACTTGGGGGAAAGGTGGGGTGTGATCATCTTTGCAGTTCCCCAGAGCTTGAAATTCCTGTTGGATAAATAGGTGGACCTTGACGAAGTCTCAGAGGGACGGAAGGTCAGGGAGTCCAGATACTCCATGGGACCAGTTCTCTCCTAAGACACTTCTGTCTGTGAGATGGGGTGTTTTAGTGGCGGGGTGATTTGTTTGGTGTTTTGTTACAAGGTCAGTACGATAGACCAGAAAAGCAACAATTTATTGGCTCAAGATATTGTACTTTGCAGGTAAAAGTATACCATAGTGTAGTCAACTCAGGCCTACAATTAGGATACATTTTCTGTTTTAATTTGCTAGAAGCCTGCGACTGTATAGTTACTTTAGCTGCAGCTCGTAATATGCTTAAGGCCTGTTTGTACTTACAAAAGATAGTCTTTGATTTTAAAGAGGTCTTCTTTCTTGTAGATGTTTTGAAATATATTTGTCTTTAAAAAAGCTAATCAGGGATGCCTGGGTGGCTCAGTTGGTTAAGCAGCTGCCTTCGGCTCAGGTCATGATCCCAGTGTCGTGGGATCGAGTCCCACATCGGGCTCCTTGCTCAGCAGGGAGCCTGCTTCTCCCTCTGCCTCTGCCTGCCGTTCTGTCTGCCTGTGCTTGCTCTCTCTCCCTCTCTCTCTCTCTGACAAATAAATAAATAAAATCTTTAAAAAAAAAAAAAAAAGCTAATCAGTGATCTAGAGGACAAATAGGACTTTTATATCACAGCTGATGATTTTGTTTCTTATCATATAAGGCTGTAATAAACTGGTAGTTTACAGGTACCTGGGTGGCTCAGTCGGTGCATCTTTCTTTGGCTCCGGTCATGATCTTAGAGTTCTGGGATTGAGCCCCACGTCGGGCTCCCTGGTCAAGGGGGAGTCTGCTTGGCCTTCTTCCTTTCCTTCCACTCGTTTGTGAGCACGCACATGCATGCCCTCTCTCTGTCTCAAATAAATAAAAATCTTTAAAAAACAAAAAACTCAGCACTCTAATTTTGTTTTTCTAAGGTACCTTTATCTCAGGAATTACTATCCGAAAGAAAACTCCTAAATTGTGTGTGTGTGTTTGTGTGTTCTGCTGCAGAGGGCATTATGAAGAATATCATAATTTCCATATTTCTATGTAACTATAGTATCTTTTGTATACCATATATTGTTTGATGGTCATGTTAAAGCTTATATTAAATTTAAGAGCATGAATCTTATTTTCTTTCCCAGAGGGGGAACATTTGTTCCTTAGGTGACGGTATTTCCCTTTCTTTTGTATTTGGACTTGTTTTGTTGTTCTGGCTTAATACTGAGTAATTTACCTGACTTTTTATGGAGAGAACAAAACATTGCCTCTTTTTCCTCTAGGTGGCTTTCTTCCTCCAGAAGAAATAAAAGAAAGATTTGACAGCAACTGTATTACACCAGTAAGTAGTCTCATACTTTGCCAGCTATTGCTAACTCCTAAATGGTAGGTTAATTTATTTCTTTCTATCATTTTAGGGAACTGAGTTCATGGACAATCTTGCTAAATGCCTTCGCTATTACATAGCTGATCGTTTAAATAATGACCCTGGGTGGAAAAACTTGACAGTAAGTTTCACATTTTGGTACTTCAAAAAGATAAGGGTGATCATTTTAGGTTGTACTTTGATATGACTGATACCCCATAAAATGCTAGTTGACTGTCAGAAGAAAGAGAAACTTCCAGGGTTATTAGAGATGGGATGCCCTGCATGGTCCAGTTTTAGGCTGCTGAATTTTCTCTCAATGCCAATTTTATCCTCTTACCATCACTATGAAGCTATAAAACAGGACCCATGATTTTAAAAAAAATACATATATAATATTTTATATTACATATAAATATGTATATATAGGAAAGCAAGTTTTAAATGAAAATTTCTACTGTTAGAAATTGAAATAGAGCCAGATTAAAGTCATGGGGTTGCCTTTAAAGAATAGCTGTGTTCTCCTACGTGTTTAAGTAAAATTTTATTGTACTTTTATGTAATTTTAAATTCAAAGCTTGTTGGGGCACCTGGATGGCTCAGTCAGTTAAGCATCTGCCTTCTGCTCAGGTCATGATCTTGGGGTCCTGAGATCAAGCCCCTTATTGGGCTCCCTGCTAGGTGGGGAATTTGCTTCTCCCCTCCCCCTTCCCTTGCTCATGTGTGCCCACTCTCTCACTCAAATAAATAAGATCTTTTAAAAAATAAAAAATAAATTCAAGGCCTATTTTGCTATAAACTAGATATGGTAAATTATGTTTAATGCGTATTTTTTATTGATTACTCCCAGGGTTTATGTAGTTTGGGGCTATATCCTTGGGTAGCAGTGAGTATACTAGAAAGTGATCAGTTTTTCTAGCTAAATTTGACTGAAACGTTTCATTTTTTTTCTATTCCTGTAGTAAATTAACCAATGAAACTATTTTGGTGTTTAACACGTACCTTATGAAACATTTCTAATAACACTCTCTTAATGGAATTATCCTCATTTAAGCTATTCAGTTTTATTGATTTTTGTGCTAGAAAATTGGGGATGCACTGACAGTGTTAAAAACTTTTTTATAGGTTATTTTATCTGATGCTAGTGCTCCTGGTGAAGGAGAACATAAAATCATGGATTATATTAGAAGACAAAGAGGTAAAATTCCCTTACAAATATTTATTATATGTTCTATTAAAAAAGCCAAGCCATTATATAGAAAATATATGATAGAATGTGATATTCCTGTGCTGTAAAATACATTTATATAAATATAATGTATCTTTCTCCTGTCTTTAGCCCAACCTAACCATGACCCAAATACTCATCATTGCTTATGTGGAGCAGATGGTAAGTTTCTTCTTACCATTTGATTTGATGCTCTTGGATTAAACCATAACTAATTGATGGTTTGGTGTGTAGTAGTGGATTATTCCTGGTTTCTTGGAAATTCTAATATATCTTGCTCATTTTATGTTTGAGAAGGAATTTGTATTAAGTTTAATCTGTGATTTATGTTCATTTATCTTAAATTTTAAAAATATTTTTCAACCTTTTGATATTGCATACCTTTAAGATGGAAGATTTTCGTTGCCCATGTGTCTGGAGGACAGCTTGTTGCTTGAGAACTAAAAAATTTTAGGTTTTTTGGCTTTATCACCTCTGTTTATGTGCTTGTTTCGGCTTTTCTTTGTGTTGTGTCTTGTGTTACAGTGGTGTCCTTTATCATTGGTTGTGGTAGGGTCTTCTCAGAGTGTTCACTGTTCATTGTTTTATCCTTGTTGGTTGGTAGCTGATCTCATTATGCTCGGCCTTGCTACACACGAACCCAACTTTACCATCATTAGAGAAGAATTCAAACCAAATAAACCCAAACCATGTGGACTTTGTAATCAGTTTGGGCATGAGGTCAAAGACTGTGAAGGTTTGCCAAGAGAAAAGAAGGGAAAGGTAGGAAATTTGAAATGGTAATTGCCTCACATTCAAATTTTTTCTGTTTTATTTTTTGTTGTGATAAAATACAATTAACGTACAATATACTGTTTTAACCATTTATAAGTTTACAGTTTAGTGGCATTAAGTATATTCATTCAGATTGTTTCATTTTTAGAATGGATAAAGAGAAGACTGTATTGTATTACCTACTTGCTCTGTTAGCCCTCATAGGAATGTATCTTTCATAGCCCTTTAAAGTGAACACACATTCAAAAGCATGCATGCACTTGTCTTTCTCCTCTGACTTCTGATACAGCTTATGTCTACATGAAGCTTAGGTCTCTTGCACATGATTTGTTTGTAGAAGTATTTGTTTCAAATGATTATTTTTCTTTAAAACAATATAAATAAAATACATTAATTTGCTTGATACTTTTAAGTTACTCCTAGTTCCTATATATTTTGGGTTCACTTGATTATATCCAGCTCCCTTTGAGTATGTTTTCATCTGATTATGAATATGGTGCCTCTTGGGGCACCTGGGTGGCTCAGTGGGTTGAGCCGCTGCCTTCGGCTCAGGTCATGATCTCAGGGTCCTGGGATCGAGCCCCACATCGGGCTCTCTGCTTGACAGGGAGCCTGCTTCCCTCTCTCTCTCTGTCTCTGCCTGCCTCTCTGTCTACTTATGATCTCTCTCTGTCAAATAAATAAATAAAATCTTAAAAAAAAAAGAATATGGTGCCTCTTTAAAAGACATGCTGAGTGGGGGAAAAAGGTAAAAAGTATACTGTATATTCATAGAGAAGTGTCTAGAATTATATACCTTGAAATTTAATATTGGCTGGATGTAGGTCAGGGGTTAGCAAACTACAGCCCTCCAGATTTGACCAATGAGCTAAAAATTGTATTTATGTTTTGAAAGAGTTGTAAAAGCAAAACAAAACATGAAAGAATATGCAACAGAGACCATATGTGTCTCCAAAAGGCTAAAATGTTTACTATCTAGCCTTTTACAAAAAACATTTGCTGATCCCTGGTCAGGTATGATTGGGATTATGGATAATTTTCTATTTTTAAAATGGTTTGGGGAGTTCTCTTTTTTTTTTTTTTTTTTTTTTGTAGTTCTTGTAATATTAAAATGGATCTTGCTTTAGAGAAATCCACAATATTTACTTCTTTGGAAAAAGTTACAGGGTTTAAAGTAGACTTGTTTAATCTTGACTCCCCTTCCCTGCAGCATGATGAACTTGCAGATAGTCTTCCTTGTGCAGAAGGAGAATTTATCTTCCTTCGTCTTAATGTTCTTCGTGAGGTATGTGGTAATAAACATTGGGATCAGTTCTCTAATGCAGGGTGGCTTTTGATAACTTCTAATGGCAATGTTCCTTCTTGATTGTAGTATTTGGAAAGAGAGCTCACCATGGCCAGCCTGCCATTTACATTTGATGTTGAGAGGAGTATTGATGACTGGGTCTTCATGTGCTTCTTTGTGGGAAATGACTTCCTTCCTCACTTGCCATCATTAGAAATTAGGTACGTGTGTTTGTGTGGGTTTTCAAACTAGTGTTTTAGCCTTCTTGCCTTTACAGTACACACTGGTCCTAATGCGTAATATTTGTTTCCTGGTGGCAGGGAAGGTGCAATTGACCGTTTGGTTAACATATACAAAAATGTGGTACACAAAACTGGGGTAAGTTAACTCTTGAATAATTTCAAAACAGAAGTATTTGCTTTTGTAAGAAGATCATTTTACATGTATTTTATCACTTACAGGGTTACCTTACAGAAAGTGGTTATGTCAATCTGCAAAGAGTACAGATGATCATGTTAGCAGTTGGTGAAGTTGAGGATAGCATTTTTAAAAAGAGAAAGGATGATGAGGTAAAGTGTTTCTATTGCAGTAGCTAAATTGCTCCTGTCTCTAATAGGCTGTGATGATCCTGTGATTGTACTTTTAACCTCTTTGAGTGCATTGTTATGTCATTATAGTGTATCAAACACCAATGTAATCATAAGTGGTCAGTGCTTTGATTATTTTATAAAGGTGGTGATGCTTGCTGTGTAGAACTATGTATTGCACACTGTGTGGTTGTGTTGTAATTTTTTTTCTCTCTTCATAATCTTAATAAAGATAAAAATCCAAACACCTATCTAATCAATAGGTTGTGAGATGAGGGTGCCAAGGCTAGATGAATCCTGGGATTGAACTCGTGGCTGCCATGTTTTATAGGAAATATTTATGCCCTGGAAGATAGGTTCAGACTTAGCAATTCGGGGATCAGGGTTGGATTGCATCAGCCAAGGCAGCGGGTTGCAGCTCTGAGTAAGAAATTTAATACATGAAAGAAATAAAATAACAAAGCACTTGGAAATGATTACATATGATAGGATGAGTACTTGGTGAGAAGTTCAGGTTTCTGACTTGGGTAGTTGGGAGATTGCTGGTTCTATTCACTGAGATAGAAAGCGCTTAGGGTAGAGCAGGTTGAGCTGGGGAACAAGGTAGAAATTGAGTTTCATTTTGGAGATACTAAGTTTGAGGCGCCATATGGCGACATTGGAGAGAAGAAAGTCCATGAAGCAGTTAGATGGGTTTGTGTAATGCTCAGGCAGAAGTCTTTTGAAAGGAGATTTGAGAACCCTTAGTAGAGGGGAGGTACTTCAAGCTGTAAGTGTGAACTTGAAGTCCCTGGGACCCTGTGTGTAGTGAAAGTGCCTCCAATAGAAATGTTGAGAAACATGGACATTTAAGGAGAAAGAGGAGCTGGTTGTAGAGAGATGGGAGGAAATCCCTGAAGAGAGAAGCCATTGGTGCTCTCTTGACTTGTCAGGGCAAGATGGATAGGCCCCTAGTACATGGCCAGAGGTTCGGAGGCTCTGGGGAGTCAGTGGGTGGAGGGGCAGTAGTAGCCTGGAGCCAAAGCAGGGTGGAGGGTGATTGTGGGGGAGGGTCAAAGGAGGCAAGCAGTGGGTAGAATTAACAGATAGTGCTTCTTAGAGAGTGAAGGAAATCCTTTCAGAAACTGATTTTACAAAAAATTCATATGCCTATTTTGAGCAAATATTGCTACTTTACTTCATAATTTTCTTACAGATTAAAACTACCATTTTTTTATATTTTCTTCAACTTTGTGTACTGTTGCTAGTGGTCTCTTTCTTAGAACTTTCAGTACCATTTTATGTAACAGAGTGAGTGGACTGTAATTCTTTCCAAAACCTTTGGTTCTTGGTAATCCCCTATGGCAGCAAGTATTTTTCACATGTAAGGTTCCAGTAACAGAACTGACTTTGTCTGGGATATCAAATGTCTACCAGTGTAGCCATTTTGAACTGAGACTTCAACAAGTGGAATTGGCTCTTGCATTTATGCTTAAGAAAAAAACTATACGTATGTACTGTGTACTACTTGATATAAAAATCTTAGAACAGCCCTTTTATGTGGCCTTAGCAGACTCTGTACTAATAAATATTGGTGATATTTGGCATTAGAGAAGGATGTATGAGATTTGATAGGTACCAAAGTGCTTCAGGCTTAAGTAATATGGTTTCCAACTGGACTAGCAGAGAGGGCATTTTAAAGCTCTTTGGATCTTTTTTGGTGTTCCTGATATCATATGATGTCTATCAGCAAGGTTGGGCATTGACAGAAATATATGAACCTTCAGAAACTCAACATAAAAGTATCTAGGTTTATGTGTTTTCCCGGAAACTGTCTGTGGCATTTGACCAATTTCCAAAGGAGTTCATAGCACAAAATAGTAGAAAAGGAATACATCAGTATTTGTTATTAAAATTGAGTGATTGAAGGTGATGCTTTTTATTTTATAAGCTTTGATGTTTGCCCTTTATCTTGCAAATGTCCTTCATTTATCCAGTAAACATTTATTAAGTGTTTCTCCTGTGCCAGATAGTATTCTGAGTGTCATTGATATAAAAGAAAAACAAAAAGACAGACAAAAATTCCTGACCTCATGGAGCTTACATTCTTCCTGAAATGGACAATAAGCACAAAAACTAAGTGAACTGTGTACTGTGTTAGAGGGATGAGTGCTGTGAAGAAAATTAAAGCAGGCGAAGAAATATCTGGGAAGGTGAAGATGGGGTTGTTGCGGTTCTAGAAAAGGTGATTAGGGAAGGCCTCACCAACAGATGACTTTGAATAAAGACCTGGAGAATGTGAAGAAGTAAACCATGCAAGTGTTTTCAAGAAGAGCATTTCAGGCAGAGGGAATAGCCAGTGCAGAGGCTCTAGGGCATGTACCCAGGATGTTGACTATATGGAGGCAAAGATGGAAGCCAAGAGCCCAGTTAGGAAGCTCTTTAGCAGCCATCCAAGGGAGCCAGCATGGTGGCAGTGAAGATGATAAGAGGTAGTTGGATTTTAAATATGTTTTGATGGTTAAACCACTGGATTGGCTAATAGATTCAATGCTAGTTCAATGACTCCACGGCATTTTGTCTGAGCAGTTGAAAAATGGTCTGAGAAACTGATGAAGAAGACTGGGAGGTGCTGAGTTGGGTGTGGGGATTCCATTTTGGGCACATTAAGTTTGAGACAGCCAATTGGAGATGTTGAATGGGGAGAGGTCCCGGTTAGAGATTTATCACCATATAGATGGTGCTTAAAGCTATGAGACTAGATGATTACTCTTATAAGAGTAGAGAAGTCCAAGTATTAGGCACAGAGGAACACTAACATTGAGAGGTTGGGGAGTCATGGTGCAAAGGCATGCAGCAAGAGTGAAAAAAGAGAACCAGGTGAGTGTAGTGGTTTTGAAGCCAAGAGAAGAGCGTGATTCAAGACCAAAGAGTCATGGTCAGATAAGGACTGAAAACTGACTAATGGCTTTCACTGTCTGCAGCTTGTTGATACACTAGATAAGAAATATTTCGGGGTGCCTGGGTGGCTCAGTGGGTTAAAGCCTCTGCCTTCAGCTCAGGTCATGATCTCAGGGTCCTGGGATCAAGCCCCACATCGGGCTCTCTGCTCAACGGGGAGCCTGCTTCCTCCTCTCTCTCTGCCTGCTTGTGATCTCTGTCTGTCCAATAAATAATAAAAAATAAAATCTTTAAAAAAAAAAAAGAAATATTTCAATTAAAGATAGAGGGAAAAGCTTGATTAAAGAAATCGGTGGATTTCATATCTTAGGAGGTTTTAGGGTAGCCATTCATCATTTATCCAACATTCAGCCTTTCTTCTGGAGGAAAGTATACCTTTCAGACCTTAAGTAAGGGTGTTAGTTTGCATTTGGCATTACTGACCTGAAAGGGATAGAAGTGCAGCTAGTCAGGTGGCCGCCAGTATAGTACCTGCTGGCCCTTGTTTTGGGCTATTGTAGGACCTTAGTTGTTCCAGTGCCTTGATACTAAAGGAATCTTGGGCATGGAAAGAGTGCTTTCTGGGACCAAGGAGGCCTTTGAATGGCCGAACAGTTAGTGGGAAATAAGATCAGTCCCAAATCTGTTTAATTGAAACCATGACTACATTTTGAATATGAGTGGAAGGGAAGAATCAATACAAACTGGACCCTTTCCTGTGAATTAAGGTGGCTCAGAATGAGCAGTACAAACATCTGAATTTCTTTACTTTCTTTCATGAGATTGACTTTTTGGAACCTGCATTTGGGTGTGGGCGGGGGTCGTGTTTGCACAGAGCCCCACTTCTCTCTTTACCCACTTGGTGCTGTGGGTGCTGCAGAATTAGGAACTGTTGAGCCCTCTTTAGGTAACAAATTCATTGTTAAATTGTCTTGTTAATTTTTTTTTTAATGGCTATCTTGGTTATTAACTGTATTCAGCTAAAACTTAAGAATTGTTTTCTTTTATTTGTATCTTCTTCATGTTGGCAGCCTATTCGCTCCAGGGTAAAACCAAGAGTCTTTGTCATGACTCTTGCATTCTTTCATGAAATGATTTCAAAAATTATCTGAAAATATTAAGAGGAACAGTTAAATTATATCTAAACTCTGTTTAGAATGCTCTCTATCCATCTGAAGTTCTGATAAAACGCACTTTGAACATATAGTCCATTGCCTAGTTTAACTATGTACCTAGGTTTCTGGGGTCTTCCTTTAAAACCTGAATTGTTTCCCAAATCATTCCTGGTAATGTTTAACTCTGGCACTTTTTGTGTATGTAATATTTGACAGAATATGTGGATTTTATACTTTTAGGACAGTTTTAGAAGACGACAGAAAGAAAAAAGAAAGAGAATGAAGGTGAGTTTTAATTAATTTCATAAGATTGGCAATAGCATAAGTTTACGGTGTGGGAGAAAGATGTTTATTGCAGTAGCTTTATTCCTTATCCTATAGGAGTTGGATAGGGGTGTAATGTCTACCCAGCTGCCTTCTTGCCCAGAGGAAGAATACTGGTGTCAAGTCTTTTCTAAACTCTGGAGTCTGAAAAGATGCACTTGATGGGTGTGGGGTGCCTAGCTGTTTGACTTTTTTTGTGATAATGAGGTATTTTTGCAATAAAAATTGTCAACCCTTTATACTCTCTTTTAAGTTACTGCATTCTGTCTACATCTTCGTCAGATTAATCTTCCTGAAACTCTTGTTTCTTTGTATGGAAATGACGAGCGACTTTGTAGTCCCCTTAGAGCCACTTCTCTCTCAGGCGGGCTTGTGGAGTGTAGTCTGATCTGGACCGATATTAGCCACCGAGCTTTTCTGTGCTCTCTTCTAAATACCACATCCCTCCTGACTCAGAGTGTTACCTACATTTGCCAGCTCCGCGTGGATTTCTGAATTCACAACTCCCTCATATCTTAGCTTTTCCACTGGGGCCTCCCTTGAGGCCTTGGCCCTAGTCCAGGATGAGCAGTCCTTTTCTTTGAACTCCACTGCTTCTTGCTTGTGGTATTTGTTTTCTTACCTCATTGCATAATGTTCTATAGTTACTTCTTTAGTTCTTATTTTTCTTGTCTTAACTGGATTTAAAACTTACGGAATTTAGGGAGTGCCTTTTATTAGAAGTGAGCAAGTTGGGGAACTTAGAAGGGAAAAAAGTAGAGTTATTTATTGTTACTGGTAGTTTCAAAACCAGTTAGGTTGAGAGGGGAATATCTGCTTTCTACCTTATGTATTACTATTTTCTTTCAGTCACTATCTGCGTAAAAAGCATGTTTTACCAGTCAGCCACAATGGTCATCGATTCCAGCTATGATTATAGCTCTAATTAATTGGAAATAGTTTATTCTAGCAAGGTGAAGAGTAAATAAAAGTGGGTTTTCCTAACTATAAATCAAACTCTTGACTAGTTTTTTAACCTTCGTTGTTATATTATTTTTATGTGCCTGAAATCCTTTGTTGAATGTATTCTGAAATTGTCAGTAAACATAATGGAATAGCTTACTGAGGCTTGAATAAATTCTGTGTATCAGAACAGTGTATTATATGTACTTTTAGAACTGTTATTATTAAATACTACAGAGTATTGTTTGCAGGGTGAGTTACCATCAAATCAAATTTTGGACAGTCCTGTAAATGCTAACAGAAATCTGGTTGCTCCTTTACGTGCTTACAGTGAGGACTCTATTCCAGTGCCATCTTTTCTTCCTGTCATCTGACTGTATTGTGATTTAATTTTAATTTCTACATTTGTTTCCACTTATGTTAGAGAGATCAACCAGCTTTCTCTCCTGGTGGAATATTAACCCCTCATGCCTTGGGTTCAAGAAATTCACCAGGTTCTCAAGTAGCCAGTAATCCAAGACAAGCAGCCTATGAAATGAGGATGCAGAATAACTCTGTAAGTGACTGACTTTTACATGTCATTGAAAAGTGGAGACCATCAGAGGTCTCTTGTGGTTGTATGTGAATTTTGTTACTAAGTCTGGAGTTGTTTTGTGTTGTAGTTTTTCTCAATTTCTTTTTCCTTGAGATATTTTTAACTTTGTTGCATCCATGATTATCAATATGTAAATATCTAAATGATATGAAAGGAAAGAAAATGCACATAAATATATATAGCTAAGTGGCAGCAATGTTTCTGTAATGCGAATGGGCCGCAGTGCTTCCCCCTTCCCCTAAAGGTACTGGGTGCTAGAAGCATGATGGGGACATCTGAGTATCTCATAGCTGGGGTAAGAGAGAAAGGTGGCTTTTCCCCTTTCTTTCCAGGGATCAGCTGTGGGCATTTTATTATATATATTCCTCAGTCTGTCAAATACAGGTATTCCTCACTGCCTAAATTCTTGCTTTCCAACTCAGGCATGGAATAGATTTGAATACATATTTTCAAGTAGCTCTCACTCTGCAGATTCTGGTTGCTCTGTACTTAGAAACTCAGGAATTGAATGGATCTGCCACTTGGTATCCCTCCTTGTTTGACCTTAGTGATCCAGACTGAAGAAGCAGATCATCTCAGCCAGCAAGGCTGTAGTATGTCCAGTAGCTTCCTGTTGTAGTGGTAACACACCATGAGCTCAAGAGCACAAGGCAGGGCAGCAGCAGGGGTGAGGGAACAGACAATGAATTGATGTACAGCAAATAATCAAAGCTATTGCTTATTTCAGGCTAGTAGGCATAAGAGAGAGTATGTGTTATAAAGAGAGGAAATATATTTTGTAAAGTTTGATATCTAATGTAAATTTTTGTTTTGATATATTCAAGGAAATTGCGTAAGTTTTGAGATTTCATTATTCTAACAGTTACCCTATTGATGCCCCAAATCTTTTATTACAAGGCAATCCTGTATATGGAATTTTTGCCATATCAGGAGACTGATTTATATTCCTGCAAATTCCCATCTTGAAATTTTAGGACCTTAGCTATGGAATTTGAGAATTCATGAGAATTTGCATCTCCTGAGAGAAGCAGCCTGTGTTTCTGTTACGTTTTTTCTTCTGTTTGATTTTTGTGTTCTTGTCTTATTCCTTCCACCATTAGCAGTGGGATATGGAGGGTCAGTGAAGGGATTGCAATGAGACACTTAAATAGAACAGAAAAGGCTGATGCTTTTTCTTAATCTCGGGAAGGCAGGGAGGTTTACACTTTGCCAGCTCTGATTGCTTTGAGAAGGATTCCAATATTGAGGCTCCACAGGACTAGACCCATTGTTGATTAATAATGTCTGTCATGGAAGTAGGAATAGAGAGATTGATGATTAAGTTGCTTATTTGATCCTGTTTTAATTCCCCTTGACATAATTATTTCTGTTGGAGTCTTTGCATAGAGGGATTTTCATCTAGAATATTAGGAATTTAAGGAAATCACAAAGCCTAATTACCAGTTCATTTCAAGGGAGAATTTAAAGTTATAGATTTATTGTTGTTTTGTTTGTTTGTTTGAGCTGTTGGGCATATTAGTATCTAGTATTGAGTAGTGTCTACCTGATGGTCTATACTGTTAATGCTTTACTAGCTAGCTTCTGTTTCCTGATAAATGTGTTTTTAAATTTTACATTCTGAAATACAGTTTGACTATATCCGTGGCCATTTCATAAAATGTGATTGCAAAAAGAGCTTTTTAAAAAGGAATTTGAGGGGTGCCCGGGTGGCTCAGTGGGTTAAAGCCTCTGCCTTCAGCTCAGGTCATGATCTCAGGGTCCTGGGATCGAGCCCCACATCAGGCTCTCTGCTCAGCAGGGAGCCTGCTTCTCCCTTTCTCTCTGCCTGCCTCTCTGCCTATTTGTGATCTATAAAATAAATAAAATCTTTTAATAAATAAAAATAAATAAATAAATAAAAAGGAATTTGAATCATTTGGGGTGGTATGTTCAGGAAAGACTTGGTTGGTAGAGAGCAGAAAAGAGCAATAAAGATTTAATATTGAAAAACCACTTTTTTTGTTTTCCCTTGCCGGTATTTATTTTTGTTATCAGATAAAGATAGTTTGTATCTTTTTTGTCAGTTTGGGAAAGTTTGCTTTACCCAACTTCTCTGTACTTAGACAATTGATAGGAATATCGTTCTCATAATTTAATCCAAATGGATTTAGTGATAGTTTAAAAATTAGTGATAACTTACTGAAAGGTGAGCCACCATATGCCACACCTTCATCTTGCTGTTGATCCTTTATACATATCGTTTCATTTAATCCTTGCTGTAACCAACAAAGAGGACATTATCCCCATTTCAAGTTGAGGCTGATAGAGGTTAAGTAAATTGCCCAAGGCCAAACAACCAGTAAAGATTAGAGTTGGAATGTCAAACTCAGATTTGACTAAAAATACTCATCTCATTTTCAAGTACAATAGCACCTTCCTGAATTTATGTTTTGTAGTTTTGGTTTTTTTGAACAGTATTGACCATAGAGTGTCATGAATAAAATGGAAATTATACATTTTTTAAAAGTAAGTTATAAACTCTATGAGAAATACAATTTTGCTTTGTTGTAACTTTTTTTGGCCTATAGTGTGAACTACATTCATACTAAGTTTTTAGTTGTAGTATCATTAAAGTAGCCTCGTAAGCTCTCAGTTTAAAAATAATTCAGTTTAATCACAGTATCTAATATGCTGTGAATAATAGAAGAGAAACTTTATCATGAAAACCTTTTTTGCCACTTGTGGTTTTGGTCACTTAACATAAAACTAGACTTGCAGAGAATTTGAATTTTTTACTTAAATGTTAAAATACTTTCAGGTGTTCACTGTGTTCATTGAATTAGGTACAAATGGAAGATAATAGTGAATTTAAAGTGGTATCCAAGTCTTTGAAATAATGTTTGCATTTTTCTAAGTTACTGATACATTTTTACTTGGACCTTGAATTTTAAACATTATCTATAAAATAATTTAGCAGTTATCTGACAGAGTCTTGTTAAACTTTTGCTTTCCAGATGGTTGTGTGAGGCTGAGCATTTACCATTTAACTTCATTCTCACCAGCACTGACTATTTTGTGTATTACTAATTAATATATTTGTATTTTCCTCCTTATAGCTTTGCTGTTTGGTAAAAACTGATCACAAACTCATAACATGAGGGAACCACTGAAGAAAAAAATAATTCCCATCCTTTAATTTTTAAAAATCTATAAAATTAAATTCTTCTTTCTTCTGAAATAATTTTTATTCTAATAATGTTCAGATTCTTTTGAATTTAAGCATAGGAAGCTTAGAACTATATAATTCTTTTTCTGAGGGAGTAGAGTATGCCAGGAACAGTCTTTATATTTTCTAAATGTACTTACCATATCTATTTAATAGCTTTAACAGTTGTATTACCATGAAGCATGATTATAATAGCAGTTGGTTGTAACTTCTTATGTGAAATGAATAATTAAATCCTTCCTCTGTAATATCATAATTGTTTGCAGAGTCCTTCAGTATCTCCTAATACGAGTTTCACTTCTGATGGCTCCCCATCTCCAATAGGAGGAATTAAGCGAAAAGCAGAAGACAGTGACAGTGAACCTGAGCCTGAGGATAATGTCAGGTGAAACCATTTTTTGGTAACACTTTGTTACGAAATTGCTGAAATAGATGCTGTCTAATTAATGCTATTTAGCTTAGAGCAGCAGTGCCTTCAGATGCTTTCCTGTGATCTTTTTATCCACCAGTAATTAATGTGGAGGGTTAGAATAGTCAGTAAATTCCGGTGAGATGTGTAAGCTATAGCTGTTAAATCTAAGTATCTAGATTAGTATGCGTGCAGGTTTTTGTCCTCCAAGCCACTTTTCCCTCTGAGACCAGGCACTAGATCAGCTAGACATGCGGTGTTTAGCTCTATGTGATCTGAATGTTACTGTTTTGAGATTAAATTTTCAAGCTGCTTAACACAGGAAGTTCAGTTACACTTGGATACTTAACATAGTTTGCTTTAATCTTCTCAGTTGGAAAGGTTCTTCCTCAAATGAAATATGCAAAAGTCATTCAGTTAAGAGATAAATATGTATATTTTTTTAAAACTACAAACGTGCATGTATACAATTATATTTCATGACAAAGAAGTTTCCCTTTAGCTATATAGTTAAAATTTCTAATAGGAAACTTTGATTCTTTATCCAGAAATTTGAGATCATTATATAAGATTAATAATCTCTTTTATAATTAAATCCAGATTTGAACCCTGGGTTCCGCATGCAAAAGGTCAACAATCTTAACAATTGTAATTCATTAAGAAGTTAGCAAAATGATATATTTCAAAGTTAAACAATGGTGGTCCACAACTCATGCTTCTTTTATAGGACATGGATGGTATGTTTGCATTTATGATGAGAAACTTCTCAGGTGTCATGTATGGTTCTGTATTTTCCTAATGTCCTTTGATGTTAGATTCTGAGATCTGTGATGACTTGTGATTGAACATTTTCCTTATCCTCTGTTTCTGCAACTCTGGATTTTCTTCTTGGAGTATGTTATCTGTTTTATTGGGTAGCCATCTTGATCAATACCAGCTTAATAGTTGAATTGATTTGTTAGTACTTCATTGTGTAATCCCAGTGCTGAGAATAGTCAAGGTAGAAATGCTTCTGTCAAAAAGTGCTTGAGACACTTAACGTGTATTTCATTAATATTTTCTGTAAAACAGTTATAATCCACATCATAGAGGATATTTCTCCTAATTGATGTTCTGTGAATGCATTGGGGCAGGGGAGGGGATTAAAATTGGTGTGGTGTATTCTGGAACATGACTGTAATTAATTAGTAAGATGTGGCACATGGTGGAAAATAGTCCTTAATGAGAATCATCTTGATGTTCTTGATCTGTCCTGATTTGTTTCTTTAGTGTTCTTTAGCTTCTTTGTGTTATGTTTAAATCTTTTAGAGAATGAAAAATGAGTACTTAAAAAAGCATTTTGAAAAAGTGGTTCTTTATATGTATTTTCAGTGATTAATAATAATTTAGTGTATTGATTGACTGCTTCTGAGTTCTACCAGAACATACAAACGTGTGTATGTGTCCTTCCCTTAAGCCAACAACTCTTAGCTGAAAGAGGGATAAGGCCCAAGGATGGGAGAATTGGTATAAACATAATTTTCTGCCTGGTTCCTAGAATGTTATTTTACAAACCACTTTTTATCTTTTAAAAAATTACCCATGCAAATTTTTTTTTTTTTAAAGATTTTATTTCTTTATTTGACAGAGAGAGACACAGTGAGAGAGGGAACCCAAGCAGGGGCAGAGGGAGAAGGAGAAGCAGGCTTCCCGCTGATCAGGGAGCCAGACTCAGGGCTTCATCCCAGGACCCTGGGATCATGACCTGAGCCAAAGGCAGACGTGTAACAACTGAGCCACCCAGGCACCCCACAAAACTTTTTTTTTTCTTTTTAAAGTAATTTGGTTGACTGCTTTGTTTAGTTTAAATGTATTTTAACAAACTGAGGAACTTACATAAAATATCTTCAATATTTGAATCTTATGGTGTAGTTTCAGAATTGGTCTACAATCAAAAAACAAGTAAAACAGTATTAAAATTTGAGCAAACAAGTGTTCAGTATCTCCTTTAGTAGTATTTTTCTCTTTTTCCAAAATGTAGTTTTATAAGGTCTCACTAGAATTAGTGTTTGGATTTTTGATGTTTGACTGTCTTAATAAATTCTGTGAAAGTGGGCTTTTTTAATTAAATGAAGCTGTGTTAGCATTACTGTTTAACTCATTCACATTTCACCTGGATATTAAGTATAAAATGATTTGGGTGATAAACCAGTGGACAATTATGGAAAGTATTAATTCAACATGAACCGGCTTTGCCTGGGTTTTAGGCTATGGGAAGCTGGTTGGAAGCAGCGGTACTACAAGAACAAATTTGACGTTGATGCAGCTGATGAGAAATTCCGTCGTAAAGTTGTACAGTCTTATGTTGAGGGGCTCTGCTGGGTTCTTCGATATTATTACCAGGTACAGAGAGAATATTTTCCTCTAAACCTAGCTAATCATTTTAGGAAGATCATAATTTCTGTGTATTATTGAGCTTTAATGAAATTAAATCCAGACTCATTCTTTTAAAGCTTCCTGTTCAGAAATTCATTACCTTAAATATTTGTTTATAAAGGCTTTTATGCTTCTCAAGTGTTAATATATAAATAAAGATAATTTTTGTTGTGCTTAAGGATTTCAGCATCAAGTAGTGTGGGTTGAGTGTACTTTGTCTTTAATATAATTAAGTATGGTGGTTTTTTAATTGGAAGTAAAAAATAATAGTCACTAATGACTGAACAAAGGACAAAGACTTGAAAATACTAGTAAGAATTTGAAAGGCATTTGAATGATACAATTTCCTCTGTGTAATGTAGTGATGTTACATGAAATGCATTCTAATTGGAGTAATCCGTATCTGACTTAAAGCCTTTGATAATTGAGATGTCAGATTGGTGAGAGATTAGGTAGACATATAGGGGATTGTAACACTAGTTGTTAATATCTGGTTTCATTCTCCGAGAGCAAGGCAAGTTAAGTTTGGTGTGATCTAAGAAAAGATGAAGTTTGTCATAAGTGGAAAGTATAATTTAATGCATTGTCAACTGTATAATAATAAATTCATGTTTTACTTTTGTTCTCAGGATTTTAATTCATTTAGGCATAGAATCAAAATACATATTAGGAGTTGTTTTTTCTATCAGTTAAAACTTCTTTTTGATGGGTTTACTTAAATATTTTTATAATAAAGAGAAAATTGTCACAATAAAATATAAGGAATTATAAAATGAAACTTTTGGAAATTTTATTTAGTCACTGTTCAGTGTGATGTCCCTTCCCCATCTATATGCTAAGTAAGTGCCAGCTATCGCTCTTCATTTTATTTGATAATGGCAGCTGTAAAATTGGAAAGAAATGTACCAAGCACATTTTAAGGGTAAAAATCTTCACCAAATTGTACTATACAAATTGTATTTACAAAGTTTGGTATTAACTACTGATTATTAAAGACACTTTGCAGTAGTTTTTAAATCAAGGAGCCATTGATACAAAGTAAAAGTTCGGTTAATCAAAACAACTCTTAGGACTCATGGGGAAAAAATATGTGGAATGTACACTGGAAGTTATGTATTTTATAGGCTAATACTCTTAATTTTTATTTGCTTTTCTGTGTCCGTATTGAACGTAGATTTTTGTTTTTGGTTTTTTTTTGTTTTGTTTTTGGTTTTTTTTTTTTTTTTTTTTTTTGTTATGATTCTAGGGCTGTGCTTCCTGGAAGTGGTATTATCCATTCCATTATGCACCATTTGCTTCAGACTTTGAAGGTATTGCAGACATGCCATCTGATTTTGAGAAGGGCACTAAACCAGTAAGCTTAATTATTTAGAGTCATGAAATTCATAGAATTTTGGCTTAGATAAAAATTGTGTGTCTTATCTTAAACCTTTTTTCTTTCTTGCAGTTTAAACCATTGGAACAACTTATGGGAGTTTTTCCAGCTGCAAGTGGTAACTTTCTACCTCCATCATGGCGGAAGCTCATGAGTGATCCCGTTAGTGTCTTAGTATTTTGAGTATGTTAGTAACTGGGGTTTTGTCATGTTTCACGAACATTAGTCACAAGTGCTTTTGCATCTAATAATTAAAACAGTGAAGTCCAAAAACAAAGTGAAAGTATTGAGTTCTTCTGTATGTTTTTCACCTTTTTACCCCCCTACTTTCCTTGGCTGTGAGAATGCTACCTGGTATAAATAAAATTAATTTGTGTTTAGGAACAATTCTTAAAACTGTTACTTTGTTCTAAGCCTACCTGTAAGTCATTGTTTTTTTTTTTTTTTTTTTGTTCCAGCCATGTGTGGTGGCTACCAATGTTCAGACATCTCTGAGCTTATTTTGTGTGCCAGATAGAAAGGAGAGCCAGGCAAGAAGTAGGAATCATTAGAGTCCGTAAACTCTTCATTGACTGTGTTGGGTTCACAGTTTTCAGTTATAAAATTCCTCTCTAAAAATGCCCCCCCCCTTTTTTTTCATTTTTTAAAATAAAATTGTTAATTTTGTTTTACTATTGGGATTAATGACCTGAAATCTTATTAACATTTTTTAAAGGAATGAAACCTTATTTTCTCATCAGGCCTGATAACATGAATGAAAGAAATGTCAGATTCTTTAAAACTCAGACATGTGTGACTTTTGTTTTGAATCTTTATTTTTCTCCTTGACATAGGATTCTAGTATAATTGACTTCTACCCAGAAGATTTTGCTATTGATTTGAATGGGAAGAAATATGCATGGCAAGGTAAAATTTAGACATTATTCCTTTTTGTTAAAACAGTTTCCACTTTTTGGTAAACTGTAAACGAACATGATTTAGGTAATGAAAGAATTTCTGTAAAAGATAAATATTTTAAGAATTGCATGTCAAAATTTGGTATTTTTTTTTTCTATCCACCCTGGCATTGGCAATGATTAATAGTAACATTCTGATAAACAGTAAATAGAGTTAAAGTAGACCGATCGTTCTTTTGTCTTTTCTGTGATTAATTAATGGGACTTGGGAATTGCTTTCATTTAGTAGCTCATTGACACTTTGTAAGGTTGCTGAGAAATACAGGTTTACAGTTTTTATAAGAATGTCATTTTTAAATTACTACTAAATTTAATGTGCTGTTTACCACTCAGCAAATGTGTGATGATGACTGAATGTAAAACACAATAAAGAAGTCTCTTACATACTAAGTGAACTATTATTTCATGCCAGAGGCCCTTTCAACAAATCGCTTTAAACTTTGCTTCCACTGTATATTTTTCTAAGATAATTTCATTTGGGAAAACCATGTTTTTACTTCCTGCTTGGTTATTTTCTGTGGTACAGTTGACCAGTAACATGACTCAGAGAATTGTGAGATGGAAGGAGGGATAAGTAATAATTTACAAATTGAAAATCGTTTTATGAGATTTTAGGGTTGATTTTGGGTTTATGTAGTAAAGGAAATTTCATACTACTTTAGTGGATTGATAATGGGAAATGCAGCCCACTGATTGGGGTTAGCAGGTATTGTGCTCTATGGTCATATTTTGTTGTATGTAAATTGGTTGGAGTCTTAGGTTGTTTTTAAGGTGCTTTGTGGAGGGTACTTTGATTAATAGAAGGAAAGGGCTAAGAGGCAGTAAAGTAAAAATGTAAGTACATAAGTAAGTGTTGAATAAATAAGTAAATATATAAACATGCAGATGTCTTCCTTTCTATATATAATAATCCAGAGGAAAAGTGAGATAGTGCACAATGGTTATAATTTCTTCACATCCTTGCCAACATTTGTTACTTTCTTTTTTTATTCAGTAAATGGCTTTTAAGTGTTTTTGTGTTTGTATTTAACACTTAAATACACTTAAGTGTATTGAAGTGTTTTTGGTTAAAGTATAATTGACATACAATATCCTGTTTCAGATGTACATCATGGTGATTTGATATTTTTATAGGTTATGAAGTGATCCCCATGATAAGTCTAATAACCATTTATCACCATACAAAGTTACTACAGTATTACTGACTGTATTCCCTATACTGTATATTATATCTCCATGACTGACTTATTTTATAACTAAAAGTTTGTACCTCTCAATCCACTTCATCTAGTTTGCCTATCTCCTCACAGTCTTTCCCCTCTGGTAACCAACAGTTTGTTTCCTTATCTGTGAGTCTGTTCCTGTTCTGTTTGTTCATTTGTTTTGTTTTGTTTTTTAGATTACGTATATAAATGAAATTGTATGGTATTTGTCTTTCTCTGTCAGGACTTGTTTCACTTAGCATAATACCCTGTAGGTTCACTGATGTTGGAAATGGTAAGCTTTCTCTTTTTTATGACTGAGTAGTATTTCATTTTATATATATGTGTGTATACAGACACACACCACACCTTTATCCATTTGTCTGTTGATGGACACTTGCGTTAGTTCCATATTTTGGCTATTGTAAATAATGCTGCAGGGAACATAGGGGTGCATTTATCTCTTCAGATTGCTATTTTTCTTTTCTTTGGATAAATATCCAGAGGTGGAATTGCTGGATTGTATGGTGTTCCTATTTTTAACTTTTTGAGAAACATCCAAACTGTTTCCCATCGTGGCTGCACTACTGTGTGTAAGAGTTCCCTTTTCTCCACATCCTCACAAACACTTTTTTTTTTTTCTTTTTGGTAATAGCCAATCATAAAGATGTGAGGTGATATTTCATTGTGGTTTTGATTTGCATTTCCCTGATAATTAGTGATGTTGAGCACCTTTTCATGTGTCTGTTGCCCATCTGGATGTCTTCTTTGGAAAAAAATGTTCAAATCCTCTGCCCATTTTTTAATTGGATTTTTTTTTTTTTTTTTGTATTAAGTTGTGTAAGTTACTTTTATGTTTTAGGTATCAACCCCTTATTGGATGTATGGTTTGGAAACATCTCCCATTCAGTAGGTCACCTTTTTATTTTGTTGATTGTTTCCTTTGCTGAAACAAAAGCTTTTTAGTCTGATATAGTCCCATTTGTTTATTTTAGCTTTTGTGGCCCTTTCCTGAAGAAACTGGTCCAAAAAAAATATTGCTGAGGCTGATGTCAAAGAGCTTACTGCCTGTGGTTTATAGTTTCAGGTCTGACATCCAAGTCTTTAATTCATTTTGAATTTATTTGTGCATATGGTGCAAGAAAATGGTCTAGTTTTACTCTTCTGAATGTAGCTTTCTGGTTTTCCCCACACCATTTCTTGAAAAGACTGTCTTTTCCCATTGTGTATTCTTGCCTCCTTTGTCATAGATTAATTGACTGTATATATTTGAGAGTTTTTCTGGGCTCTCTGTTTTATTCCATTGATCTATGTGTTTGTTTTCATGTCATACCATACTGTTTTGATTGCTATAGCTTTGTAGTGTGGTTTGAAGTCAGCGAGTGTGAGACCTCCAGCTTTGTTCTTTCTCAAGGTTGCTTTGGCTCTTTGGTGTCTTTGTAGTTCCATACAAATTTTAGGATTCCTTGTTCTAGTTCTTTGATAAATGCCAGTGGTATTTTGATAGGGATTGCATTTAATATATAGTTCGCTTAGGATAGTATGGACATTTTAACAGTATTCTTCCAATCCTATCAGCATGTAATATCTTTTCCATTTATTTGTGTCTGTTTTTTTTAATAATAGCCATCCTAATGGGTATGAAGCAGTATCTCACTGTGCTTTTGATTTGTATTTCCCTAATTATTGGTGATGTTGAGCATTTTTTTCATGTGCTTATTAGCTATTTCTGTGTCTTTGGAGAAATGTCTTTTCAAGTTTTTTTGCTCATTTTTGAATTGGGTTTTTGTTTGTATGTATGTATTTATCTATTTATGTATTTATTTATATATTTATTTGACACAGAGAGATCACAAGTAGGCAGAGCAGCAGGCAGAGACAGAGGGGAAGCAGGCTCCCTGCTGAGCAGAGAGCCCGATGCGATGCGGGGCTCTGTCCCAGGACCCTGAGATCATGACCTGAGCCAAAGGCAGAGGCTTTAACCCACTGAGCCACCCAGGCGCCCCGGTTTTGGTTTTTGTTTTTGTTTTTTTTTAAGATATTTTATTTATTTATTGGACAGAGAGAGAGATCACAAGTAGGCAGAGAGGCAGGCAGAGAGAGAGGAGGAAGCAGACTCCCCGCTGACTAGAGAGCCTGATGCAGGGCTCGATCCCAGCACCCTGGGATCATGACCTGAGCCGAAGGCAGAGGCTTAACCCACTGAGCCACCCAGGCGCCCCCGGTTTTTGTTTTTATATTGTAGGAGTACTTTATATATTTTGAACACCAGTCTCTTATATATGATTTTGTATTTATTTTATTCCCTTTTGTGATTGTCTTTTTACTCTGTTTGATAGTGTCCTTTGATGCACAAAGTTTTTAATTATGAGGGAGATTCAATTTTTGTCGGACTATTTTGTTGTTCCTGTGTTTTTGGTGTTGTGTGCAAGAAGTCATTGCCAAATCCAGTGTCATAAAGCTTCCCCCCCTGTTTTAGGATAATTTTACAGTTTTAGCTCTTAACATTTAGGTCTTTGATCCATTTTGAGTTTACTTTTGTATAGGGTGTAAGATTAGAGTCCATCTTCATTCTTTTGCTATGGATGTCCATTTTCCCCAGCACGATTTGTTGAAACAACTGCTCTTTCCCCATTGAACAATCTTGCCACCCTTATTGGAAATCATTTGACTATGTATCTGAGGGCTTACTTGTGGGCTCTCTATTCCACTGCCTAATACGCCTATCCTTACGCCAGTACCAAACTGTTTTAATTAGTGTAGCTTTAGTAAGTTTTGCCGTCGAGTGATGGGAGTCCTCCAACTTTATTTTTCTTCTTCAAGGTTGTTTTGGCTCTTTGGGGGCCCTTGAGATTCCAAATGAATTTTAGGATGAGTTGAAACTCAGACCTTTAATATTTTTATATTTTATGTAAGTATTTTCAGTTATTAGACTGCAGCAAGAACATAACTTTTTTGAGGTCAAATTTAGTACTGTGAAGAGTTATAGTTATTCCCCCATGTCTTTAAAACTTGTTAAAAGTAATGGTAATACTTAAGTTCTTAATACCTAAGTTGCATGTATCTTAAAATGATAGAAGATAAAATATATCTGGGTAGTTTTTTGACATTTACTGAACTCTTGCAATGTTGTGTTTTTATAGTATTTCCTTAATATATGTAAGAGGAATATAGCATACCCATTTCGAATGCTACATATTTTATATATGAACAGAGTATTTTAAGTCCTTTGATCAGAGTCACACAGTGGCTGAACTAAGATTGGACCCAGGGAGTGTGACCACTATGTATTTACCTAAGTGCTACTACTTGGGTTACTTGTGTTGTTGAGGTAGTGCATTTTAACATAATAAATAAGTACTCAGGAGAAATTAGCTGTAAATGTCATTTTTACTATCAGCTCACTCAAGAACTAAATTTATCACATCTGGGTATAAGGCATTTCTTTCTATCCTGCCCAGTAGGGCTGATTTGTTGCTTAGTAACCTTATTGCTTTCATTAGCACTGCAAGTTGCTTACCAGTTGGAGCTGGCTTTTAGAGTTGATATTGTAGGACAGTCTTTCTGATAATTTGTTAGTCTTAAGTGTATGACTAAACAAAACTTGAACAACTCCCTGCATTTTTTCCATGTAAATGTTCACCAGTAGATCAAACAGTCTAACTTTGGTGATAGATGTTAATATTCTTGAAATCACTTTTTAGGCCCTTCACAATTCACTTAGTTTCTTTTTCTTTTTTTTTTTTTTAATATTTTATTTATATATTTGACAGACAGAGATCACAAGTAGCCAGAGAGGCAGGCAGAGAGAGAGGAGGAAGCAGGCTCCCTGCTGAGCAGAAAGCCCGATGTGGGGCTCGATCCCAGGACCCTGGGATCATGACCTGAGCCGAAGGCAGAGGCTTTAACCCACGGAGCCACCCAGGCGCCCCTCCCATAGCACTTTTACTCCATTGAGGAATGACAAAGGTTTCCTCTTAACGTTAAAAAATGCATATTTCCCTTCTAGATAATGAAATTGAACCTGTTTCTAAACTTTGAAAATATGGTAGCTAAATAATTAATGACAACTTTGGGAACCTTTCATTTCTCTCATTTTAAAGGGAACAATTACAATTGTGGCAGTTTTGACTGGCAGTAGTTTCAAAATTATTTAGCTCTAATTAGCATTTCTCTTTGCTGTTTATTTTACACTTTTTATTTTGTCAAAAGACTACTGTATACAGTATAGCATAAACGTGGTTCAATAACTTCGTGTATCTTTCTAGAAATAGATACTGTATTACTGGTGTGCTACTTTGAAAATTATGAATGTAGGTTGAAATAAAACAATTACTTTAATTCCAGCACATTCCATAGGACAGTTTTCAGCCTGAATATGAACAACTTGGATCCTACCCCACCCCCAAGATTACTTAAGCAAGTCCTTAAACACTTTTTATATCTAAATTAGTTATTATGTTTTAAAATGTAAAAAACAGAATGCTGTGCAGTTTTAGAGCTGGAAGACATTCCATGTATTTATTCACATTGAACAGACCTTCTGAATATTTTAGTTGAAAACCAAGTCCTAAAAAGATGAAAGGACAAGTTCAGACTCTTTGCAGATTAACTGGCTTGCTCAAGGGCATCCTCATAAGTTAGGCAAGAGAACATAGACTGGTGTCCAGGTGGCCACTTGTTCATTTAATTTAAAAGTTTTATCATCATGGAGTTAAGATTCTGCAAACATGGTTTTTCATATGAGCTATCTTAAGGATGGAAAATATATGAAACTTCTTTCTTCTCTGAACACATGGAAAGTATTTGCATCTGAGATTTGAATAGAGTTCAATTTCAAAATGTTTTTACGCCAACAGAGATATTCTACTAGAAATGTTTATTTGAACGAGTAATAGGTGGAATTTGGGTGATCCTAATAGCTCAGTGGTTGGTGTGCATTTCTTTCTCCAGGTGTTGCTCTGTTGCCTTTTGTGGATGAGCGAAGGCTGCGAGCTGCTCTAGAAGAGGTATACCCAGACCTCACTCCAGAAGAGAGTAAGAACTGTGCTTCCACTTTGTCTCAACATTGAGTCTGTATCTTATAGACTTTACGTTTCTGTATAATATTAGACTCTTTTTTCCATTTGTCAAATTTCACATATAGGGGGCATAAACCATTGGTTTTTACTTCTTCATAAGAAAAATCAACTTTGCTTCTTAAAATGTATTATCCAAATTGAATAGTAAATACAATTTTTTTTTAACTTACAAGTGTTAGATTTATTAAAAAGCAATACTTTAAGGGGTGCTGGGGTAGCTCAGTCAGTTAAGCATCTGACTGTTGATCTCAGCTCAGTTTTTGGTCTCAGTGTTGTGAGTCCAAAGTTCACAGTGGGCTCCCTGCTAGTTGTGGAGCCTGCTTTAAAAAAAAAAAAAAAAAAAAAAAAAACACAAAAACAGCATTTCAGGAATATCCTTTGACTTTCTGATCCCCCCCCTTTTTTTTTAACATTTATTTATTTTAGAGAGGGCAAGCATGCATGAGCGGGGGTAGGGGAGGAGGGAGAGGAAGAGAGAGAATCCTCAAGCAGGCTCCGCCTTGAGTGTGGAGCCCAACGTGGGGCTCAATCCCAGGACCTTGAGACCATGACCTGAGCCGAAATGCAGAGTCAGCCACTTCACCGACTGTACCACCTAAGTGCCTGCCCCTTGACTTTTTTTGATTCTTACATGACATGCACTCACAAAACTAATTTTCCATGCTGTGAGTGTATTAATTTCCTCTCTGTCCCTTCTTCCCTTCATCCCCTCCAATAAGTTAACTTTGTTTAAAAAGCTATGTTGAAATAAAGGCATTTACTTAGTTTGCTTACCTGAAATGTTATTGGTACAGAGTGGCATTTAAAATACTGACAGTTAAAAGTGTTGGGAAATTGCAAAGCTAGACTCTATTGGAAAATTTATTTAATACCAGTATAATAAACCTACAGAAATAATTTCTCTGTCAGCTATCCTTAGAGTAGTCTTTGTTATCAGATGGTGTAATTTGTTTGGGTTTGCTCAGGAAATGGTTATGTATTTCTTACAGTAAGAAATGGAGTTCTATATAAGTTTATCCCTTATCTTAGAATACTATATTGAAATATGTTTTAGTGATAATATTTTCTGATAGTCTTTGATCTTCGAAACCTTAATGTCAAACTTGTTTTTCTTCTACAGAGACCTCACACATTTAGGTCTGTCACTTTTAAATTATTTTTTGTAGGGGTACTCAGCCCTTAAGTGTCTGTCTGCCTTCAGCTCAGGTCATGATCTCAGGGTCCTGGGGTCAAGCCCTGCATCGGGTTCCCTGCTCAGTGGGAAGCCTGCTTCTCCCTCTCCCACTCCCCCTGCTTGTGTTCCCTCTCTCGGTGTGTCTCTGTCATATAAAAAAAATCTTTAAGAAATAAAAAGTATATTTTATTGTAGACCTTATACTAAAGTTTTAAAAATTTAGATATTTCTTTTTATTTTATTCTCATAAAAGTTGCTCTTGCAGATATAATTGTTTGATCTTATTTCTTTCCTTATTTTCCCCCCAGCTAAAAGAAACAGTCTTGGAGGTGACATCTTATTTGTGGGCAAACATCACCCACTCCATGACTTCATTTTAGAACTCTACCAGACAGGTTCCACAGAGGTATGGTCTCTTTTTCCATCATGAAGTGCTTTTAGACAGTATAATTATTCGGTTAACTCATCAGAAATACATTTGTTAAATTTTGATAAAATAGAAACAAGTGGGGTGCCTGAATGGCTCAGTCAGTTAAGCTTCTGCCTTCAGCTCAGTCATGATCCTGGGGTCCTGGGATCAAGTTCCACATTGGGCTCCCTGCTCAGCAGACAGTCTGCTTCTCCCTCTGCCGCTTCCTAAAGCTCATGGACACATGCTTGCTCTCTCTCAAAAATAAATAAATAATATCTTTTAAAAAAAGAAAAAGAGGGTGTCTGGGTGGCTCAGTGGTTTAAGGCCTCTACTTTCAGCTCAGGTCATGATCACAGGACCCACAGAGAGCCCCACATCGGGCTCTCTGCTCAGCAGGGAGCCTGCTTCCTCCTCTCTCTCTCTCTGCCTGCCTCTCTGGCTACTTGTGATCTCTGTCAAATAAATAAAATCTTTTAAAAGAAAAAGAAGAAAATGTACCATTTTAATCTTTAAAAACCATTTTAAAAGTGTATAATTTTGTGGCATTAAATCTATGTACAGTGTTGAGCAGCCATTCACCACTATCCACTTGCAGAATTTATCTTCCCAAACAGAAACTGTTATCCCTTAACAATACATCTCCATTCTCTCCCCTTATTTCTGATAACCTGTCTTCTACTTTCTGTCTCTGAATTTACCTGTTTTTAGAAGTGGAATAAATGGAATCCTATAATATTTGTCCTCTTGTGTCTGACTTATTTTACTTAGTGTAGTGTTGTCAAGGTTCTCCATGTTGTAGCATGTATCAGGGCTTCCTTTTATGACCATAGTGTGTATATACTGCATTTTCTTTATCCGTTCATCTGTTGATGGAAACGTGGGTTGTTTCCTCCTCCTGGCTTTTAAGAATAATGCTACTATGAACTTTGGTGTACACGTATTTGTGTGAGTCCCTGCTTTCCATTCTTTTGGGTTTATGATCAGGAATGCATTTTTCCACAGCCAGTGGATGTACCACCTGAACTATGTCATGGGATGCAAGGAAAGTTTTCTTTGGATGAAGAAGCTGTTCTTCCAGATCAGTAAGCATTCATTTGTGCACATTGGGGTGACTGGGAGGAAGTTTAGCTAGCATTTTTTCCTTGTTGCCCAAATGTTTTATTTTCTAGTAATAGTAAGAAAACAAAACAACAGAAAACCTGCTGGACTATTAAAATACTTGGGGTCAGAGCCCACCTCTTTAGCCTAGTAGCTGTATCACTGTGTGCAGGGAGCCCTGGGGGTCTCTAAAGCCCTTACAGGAGATCCATGAGTTCACAGCTATTTTTATAATAATAATAGGATGCTATGATATTATTTGCTTTTCTCATTCTCTTTCTCTCTTGAGTATACAGTGGAGTTGTCCAGAAGCTGAATGTAGTGTGATAGCTATCTCAAGAGATTGAATCAGAAGCAGATAAGAGAATCCAGCTATTAAGATAGATATTAAGTCAGATATTAAAGAAATTTTCAAAAATTAAGACAATGACACTTCTTTTTTTTGCTTTGTAAAATAATTTTTCATTAAAAATGTTATTTATGTAATAGGTTTATTACTGTTATCTTTAAATTAGTATTTTAGAAATTTCTTAGTTTTAATTTTTAATAGGTAAATATTGATACACATAACCAACATAACCAGAAGCTCTTTGAGGTCCTTGATTTTTAGAAATGTTTTAAAGGGGTTCTGAGATCAGTGTTTGGGAATTGCTGGTCAGTTGTATCTTCCTCTTTTGTAGATAATGGATGGTTTTCCAAAGTGATTATACTATTTTGTAATCTTAGTGGCAGTTTGTGAGAGATTTTGTTGCTCTACATTCTTGCAAACCCTTGGAATTGATTGTCATGACCTTAATTTCTGTCAGTTTAGTGGATGCTTATTGACACCTTGTGTCTTACAGTTGCATTTCTCTGATTACTAATGAAATTGAATGCCGTATGGTATATTTATTAGCCATTAGGTTTCCCTCATTTATCAAGTACCTGTTCTGTTCTTCTGTGGTCCTTTCCCTGTGCCCCTTTTTGGTTTGTTTGTATCCTTTACAAATTCTGGTATGAGCCGTTTGGCCATAATAGTTTTCTGTTGAGATTACAAGCAAGGAAGACAGGGTCCTTTATTTAAAGATGTAATTGGTTGTGTCATTTTTTTGTTGGTACATTTTAATGATTTTTCTTTCCTAAAGCAACATCTTAATTCCACTTGTCCAAAAGGTTACAACTTACTCCCTTCTTTCTCTTTAGGATAGTATGTTCTCCTGTCCCCATGTTACGGGATCTGACACAGAACACTGCAATCAGGTAAGTCTTTGAAAATTCATATCCTTTGACCAAAACACAGCTCTGAACTTGCAGATAAGTTTAAGAAGATCCCTGAGTCACAAGGAAATGGCAGCTGTTACTCCACCAGTGCTTTGAGATTGGAGAGTCCCTGTGTTGCAGACCTCAGAACAGAGCCTCTTGACTTTAAATTATGTATATTGTTAAGGTTACTGATTTAACAAGCTTGCTTCTCTGCTTACTGGTTTCCCCTGACAACCTCTTAATTCTTCCTGGATTAGAAAAGTGGGAGGTAGAAAGTAGGAGTTTCTAGGAGTAGTTTACTACATAGGAGCAAACAGACCTCTTTACCTCAGAGACCCACACAGCTTCTCTGTGTTATAACAGATTATTTTAATTATATTTACAGGTGTGGCCCTGCAGAGTTTAAAAACAAAACTATTACATACTTTATTTTGGTTGAGATAGAATAAATTTACGGAAATGTTTACCAATAATTATTATAAACTAAATTTAGATCATTTCTGCTACCTGGAAAAATGTATTTCATTTCTTTCTTTTTTTTTTTCAATTTTTTTTTTAATTAACATAATATATTTGTTTCAGGGTACAGGTCTATGATTCATCAGTCTTACACAACACACAGCACTCAACACAGCACACACCCTCTCCAATGTCCCAACACCCAGCCACCCCATCCTTCCCACCCCCCGTATTTAATTTCTTGCATTTCTTCATACAGCATTCTGTATGTGTAAAATATAATGTGACTGTTTAGAATAAAAACCAACACACTATTCATTTGCTTAATTCTTGTATGTAATTACAAATCTCGATTGCAGGATTTATGTTACCATTTTCTTCAGTCTTTAGGCAAGACTAAGGAAAACACATCCTAGTAATTCAAGGATTTTGTAAAAGCCTGCTTGGGAAGACTGTTACTGAATCCTTCTCTCCCAATCATTGTTACTATTTCTGTTACTCTTTGGAAGTATTTTGGATTTTATTTAAATTTATCATTGTAAAGTGTGAGCATATTCGTTTTCCTATTAATAGATTTAGATAGAAAGCAACTGCCACTTTAGAGGGGCTTTTATTTAAAGAAAACTGTCATGAATTTGGAAATCTTTCTAAATTAGTTGCTTTTATCTTTACACACATTTTTAATTTATCTTTACATGGAATTTGTTCTGGCTCTCTGTCTTTGGGCTCTTCTGTTAAGGGTGGAGTTTAGAATTGTGGGCCATGCTCTTGCACCCACCACAAATAGTCTGGTTCAGGTAGATCCAGTGTGGACACTGTATTAACCCATGGGATCTCTCTGCCTTGAAACAGTGCTTCAGGTCAGTTAATCCTACCAGTTCTGTCTTTGGATTGTCACATGCTTGCTTGTGCTCCCCAGTTCTGCATGTTTTCAGGGGCCTTTCTGCCCAGCCCTCTAGAAGTACTTAACTTTTTTTTTCTACTTAACTTTACAATTAGAACAGAAAGACTTGTCCAAGGGAAGAATTACAAAATTGGCAAATCCTCTAATTTCTGTTTGTATGGTGGTGTTATTGTTGGCTGGTTGGTTCTGAGCCTGAAGAAGGCCTTTGGTATTATTTGGTATCCATTGTGTTCTCCTAAGATTATTAAACTTAACAAGACAAATACCAGATCTAGGTGCGAATTCAGACATATGTTGAAAACTTCATATTAAAATTGATTTGAGTTAATGTCCTGGAGATTTGTGAAAGACCACATTAACTTTTACCTTACGAGCTAATTTTCAGTGTTTCCTATGAGGCGTAATGAGGTTGATCGAGTTTATTGCAGTTTTTGTGTGTGTGTTTGGGGGCTTGTTTTTCATCCCAGTCTTGTGTTTGTTTTATAAATGAAAATCTGAGAATGCAGGCTCTGGTGCCAATTGCTGGTTATTTCTATTTTGACTCCTGTCATTTTTTTCCCTTCTCTGTTTGTATGCATCCAATATTCCATCCCATATTTGAGAAGTTCTTCAAGTTGAGTTTAGGTGGGTTTTCCTACCACATAGCTCTTACCCGTAGTGTTAAAAAGGCATATGATAGAGGTTATTGAAGTGTTTAAGTTCCTAGAAGGACTCTTAGAAAAATACAGTCAGCTGTGACCTAGGAGATCTCCCTCCCCACCCAATTCTGATTCCATAAATCAGTCAACATTATTAGTAGCTTAACTTTGAATAGAACAGAGCTATCTCTCTTATTTTTCCTCATCCCATTCTTCACCATTGTAATTTGCTTAGATGTAATATTTTTAGACTAATTTTTTGTTAACTTCAAATATAGGGGCGCTTGGGGCGCTCAGTCAGTTAAGCGTCTGCTTTCAGCTCAGGTCATGATCCCATGTCGGGCTCCCTGCTCAGCAGGGAATGTGCTTCTCTTGCTCGCTCTGCCTCTTCCCCTGCTTGTGCTCTTCCCTGCCCTCAAATAAATAAAATCTTGGAGGGGAGGAACCTTTAAATATATAAAACTTCATATGATCTTAAAATTAAATTTTCTTCCCACGGCAGTGGCGCAATTTTCTATTCATCTGGAGTAGAGAGACAGACAGACAGACACACACACACACACACACACAGCCTTTGTTTTACCTCAGACTCAGCGTTCTGGCCTTCTTTGTCCAGTGCCCCCCATCATTTCTCCTTGCTGATCTCTCCTTTCTGTCCCTGACCGTCCTGTTGCTCTGCTCTCTTTCACTATGTGCTTTGGCTTCTCATACTATCTTAATTCCTATATCTATACCACTGTTCTGTATTTTCTTTTTCCCAGTTGTTTTTTGTTTCTGGCTCTTCCCAGTGAGCCTGTGTTGTAGGGGTTTTTGTTTTTTGGGGTTTTTTTTTGCTTTTTTCCTTTGAGTTTCTTCTGAATTACTGTAATGATTTCCCAGCTAATTTATTTGATTCCACCTTCCCACTGAATCTACTGGCATATGATATGAGGCTTATCTTTGTTAAACACTGCCGCTCCTCAGAAATCTTCACTCTGTATTGTCAGTGGAATTATACTTCTTTGCTTTTTGAAGGCCTGTCCTGGTTTGGCAGAGCTATGGCTCTGTGCCTGAATCCCCACAGTTCCTCAAGGACACCCGCCTCCTCCTTCAATGCAGGCTCTTCCCATGAGTATCCCATTGACTTTTGTGCCTTCCTTACATTGTTTGGAATGTTCGTTCCTTTATATCTTATCTTTCATAGCTTTTCTTCTCTTCTGAAATGTAATGTGAAATTTATATATTCTTATATGTTATTTTTATCAGTAGCACTGTTAAGATTTTGGTGGTTGTTTTTTTTTCTTTTTTCTTTTTTCTTTTTTGTTTTGTTTGTTTGTTTGTTTGTTTTCTCCTAGCACCTGGCATAGTTCTAAACCTGTGTAAAAGCCCAGGTGTTCATGGTGTTCATAGTGTCAAAGCCCAGTGTTTGCCATCGTCTTCCAGCAACCCTTATTCCTTCAGAGGAGTGTTCTCAGACTTTCTGTGAATCAGGCAAGGGGTAGGAGGTTTTCTAAAAATGTGAATTTTTTTTTTTAAGATTTTATTTATTTATTTGTCAGAGAGGGAGAGAGAGCGAGGGAGCACAGGCAGGCAGAGTAGCAGGCAGAGGCAGAGGGAGAAGCAGACTCCCGATGCGGGACTCGATCCCAGGACGCCAGGATCATGATCTGAGCCGAAGGCAGCCGTTTAACCAACTGAGCCACCGAGGCGTCCCTAAATATGTGAATTTTTAATGTAACCATTACTGCAGTATTTGTAAGACTCATGGTTGGCAAGCAGATAACTTGAAATCAGAAGCCTAGAGGAAGGGGAATACATAGAGTCAGTCACAGATTTGATGGTGAAAGCTCTTGGGAGGGCTTAATTTCCACTACCTGGTTAGCCTCCTCTGATAGAATGTCAGAAAAGATATCTTAAGTCCTATAAACTTAAGTGCTTTAAAATGTCAAGTATATGAATCATGAAGTTTTTCTTACAAGAACAGTTTGCATTGGTATGCTGATTTAGCATTAATTAAGGAATGTCAGGGGAAGGTAGAGTAAAAATATGTAACTTGATATTTGGAGTTTTCTGCTATCTTTGTGAAGTGTGCTAGCACTCAAGCAGTAATAGTACTTAAAATAGCATTTCTAAGGCTAATTCTTAAAGTGAATTGAGTTGGAAAGGGGTGTTGTACATTCCATTCCTTTTCTTTTGAGACTTTGCTATAGTATTTTCTTCTTACTAATAGTGTCTAAAGTGCTACTTATAATACAAATAAAAGCACTGCTCAGTTTTGTTATTTTCAACAATGCTTAGGTTTATAGTTTTTATATTTTGTCCTTAATGTGCTTGTGATGACAATTAGGTGATTAAAATAACAGGGAGGTTCCCTACCAACCGAAGGATCCATTATGTTACTCCTGGACATGATGGTCTGGTAGATAGAAGCCTAGGTTTTGTAAGTCAGCTCTGTGCCACCTGGAAGAAGTGGTGAAAAACGCTTGTGTTTACAGAGTTAGATGAAGCAGTACACATCTAAACACAGTTCTTTTACCTCAGAAGGGCCACCTGTTGAATCTATAAGCTGTTCTGTTAATTCATTTCCTCCCTGAAGGTGCTTTTGTGTTATCTCAGTGTTACTGCTTTCTCTCCCCTGACTCGCTCCACAGTTAAGCTCTTTTGTTTCTGGTGGTAGAAATTGTCAAGGATTAATCTTGTTTTTCTTCTTTATTATTTCTATTTTTATTTTTTTTATTTCTATTTTTATTTATGTATTTTATTATAATAACATCATTTTTGTTATTTTAGTTTTTCTGTTTATAAGAATTTTAATTACATAAACCTGAAAAAAATGAGGGAACTTTGAAAGGTTGGGTCTCAATAAAGTTCCCCTTTGGGACTTTGACTAATGGGCTCCTGCCTGGTTTATGTGTTTCAGGTTTTGTTTTTTGTCTTTTTTTTTTTTAAGATTTTATTTATTTATTTGACAGAGATCACAAGTTAGGCAGAAAGGCAGGCAGAGAGAAGGGGAAGCAGGCTCCCCACTGAGCAGAGAGCCTGATGCGGGGCTCAATCCCAGGACCCTGAGATCATGACCTAAGCCAAAGGCAGAGGCCCAACCCACTGAGCCACCCAGGCGTCCCTGTATTTTCAGTTTTTGGAGAGGTTTGTTTAAGTTGTGGCTGGTGTTTCACATTGGAAAAGTACAGTTGAGTTGTGCTTTTCTTTTGTTTTATTTTCTAAAAATATAATAGTTCTTAGTATATATTTTTGGGAACAAATTACTTAAAAAAAAACACTCTGAACCAGTGAAAGCTTAACTCATTTTAGGAGAAAATAAGTCTTCAAATTGTTCTCCAAGATCCAAGGGAAAAGAATGCTTTAATCTTTGAGATCAAAAATAGCATCACTTGTCTTCAGTGGGGACCTCCAATCTTATTTTTAGATGCTCCTTTTCTGTCTCCTAATAGTTTGTTTCCTATGAAGTATATAGATCACTCTGTTGAGTTTGGTTCTGAGGGTAAGTAGGGGAGATGTTGGAGATTTTTTTCCCATTATCTTAGAAATTTTTTCCCTTTTAGAACATGACCATGAATGATGGAATTTTTAAAGCAGTTTTATTGAGGGACAGTTGACAGTAAACTGCACATATTTCATAAATAAATGGGTTTGTTTTCTCAAACACTGGTTTCGGCTGTCTTATTATGTCTCTTGTAACCATTATCCTTCAGGAGAGATTATCCCTGTGAACCTGGGGTTCTCTCTTCTGCCTGGGAACTCGTTACGTTGACTGTTTCTTTCATTTAGTTTCCATTTTTCTGTACATCACTTGCAGATCTTCATCTCAAGCCCTCACCTGAATGTGATCTTCATTCTAGTTCCAGCCCTGCCATTTCTTTTGCCTGTCCAGCATTCCCACCTCCAGCGCCTATTGAAGGCCCTTACCTAGACTGTGTCGATGATCTTTTGGTTCTCTCTTTCTTCTCTCTTACACACTGTTGCCAGGAGTTTCTTTTTGAGTTGCATTCCTGATCATGTTTACTCCCTGACTACCTGAAGTGATTTCACATTGTGGTCAGAACAGGCTCTCAATGACATTAACCCAGTTTGGCCAGCCTATGTTCCTGCTCACCTCTGTTCACAAACTTGCTTGCTCCAATCTAGCTCTTCTCAGCTGAGGTTTCACTTGGGAGTTAAGGCTTGAGACATTGGGATGCCTGGGTGGCTCAGTTGAGTGACCAACTCTTGATCTCAGCTTGGATCATGATCTCAGGGTCATGAGTTCGTCTCCTTTGTTTTGCTCCACGCCCGGTTCCATGCCCAACTCTACTTAAATTTAAAGAAAAAAAGGCCTGGATGCCTGGGCAGCTCAGTCAGTTGAGCCTGCCTTCTGCTCAGCTCACAATCCTGGAAGTCCTGGGATCGGGTCCTGTATCCGGCTCCCGGCTCAGCGGGGAGTCTGCTCCCTCTAACCCTGCCTCCTCTGTGCCCTCTCTCTCTCTCTCTCTCTCAAATAAATAAAATCTTTACATAAATAAATATATAAATGATTTTTAAAAGGCCCTCAGGCCAGTTCTCAAACTTAAAGCATTCATTTCATGTAACCAGTCGGTTTGTGTCTTATTCCTTTAGAATGGGACTAGTTATATGTCTTTCTTGGGAGAATTGAGGATGTAATCACTCAGATCATTTGTATAGGGATGGCTTCTCTCCCAGATCCCTATTGAGAAGGCTGCTCCAATTAAACTGAGCTATTCCTTAGTACCTTTGGAAGCCCTTTCCATGTCTTGGTTACAGTAATTTCTTCCCCTTCTGTAACCAGTCCTGTCCCACTTTATATCATGACCTCTTGGATGATGTTTTCCTTGGTCCCAGGTGAAAGAATCCTCTTCCCTCTCCCCCTTGCACACATGCTTTTATCCCATATTAACAAAGACATGAGTGGAAGGTATGTGTACACACATCCTTTGACTCAGCATCTTTTCTGTGTCTGTTATTGCCTTTTCCACTTTCTTACAAAAATGTTATTAAATATTTCCTATTTCCTTTATCAGAAGGGGAGGCAAGCTTGATGCCTGGCCAGGATTTGTACCCCCACGCCCACCCTGAGACTGTGTATGCTGTGGGAACTCTTAAAGTTTGTTTGGTAAACTGCTGAAAAGCTCTGCTGACACAAAGATAACTGCTTTGAGACATTCTAGTTGCAAGTCTTGCTTTTTATTACTGATTTTCTCTCTTTACTTTGTATCTGGAAGGCCCTAACGAACCTCTGTACTTAACTACCATTTTCTCTGTCACCCTCTTAAACCTGTAACACTGCCCTAAGCCACTTTGCCCAGTAGAGAACATTTGAGATAAAGACAGTTGCCAGTGAAGAGTGAATTGTAAGAGGAATTGATTCAGTAAATGAAGTATTGTTTAGCTGCTCTTGAGATCAGCATTTTTATTATAAATGAAGTTATTTTTGTGTACTTAAAATGTAGTTAAATCCCAGTGCTACGTAAGTAGGTCCTAATAATTTAAAGTGGCAATATTTGAAGAGAAAAAAGTTAGCTATCTAAAATGTCAACCAGTTCAATAAAACCTTCTTGAGTAGAAACGTTTTCCTGCCTCACATTGAGGTCTTTTATCCATTTCAAGTTTATCTTTGAAGATAATGGTCGAGTTTCATTCTTCTATACATAGCTGTCCAGTTTCCCAGCACCATTTATTGAAGAGACTGTCTTTTTTCCACTGGATATCTTTTCCTTCTTTGTTGAAGATTATTTGACCATAGAGTTGCAGGTCCCCATCTGGACTCCCGAATAAAACCGTTTTCAAGTGTAATCATGGAGGAATTTTAGAAAATAAAAAGCACAAAGAAGGAAAGGAGATAATTATACAGAACATATCACTGATTACTTTTTTGAATATATGCCTAGGCTGTTGTATACATATTGAAATGTCAATTGAGGATTCCATTTTTATGGAGAACCATAGTTTCTTTAACCAGTCCACTATTAAATCCCACACTTAGGTTTTAGTTTTTCAGCATGAATACAAATGTCGTGAGCATCCTTATGGATAAACCTGGTACAGATCCAGAATCCAGAAGAGGCATTGCTATATATCAAAAGGAAAACTTAAATATTTACCAGGCTTCGGGACATGCAAACCCCACCAGAGAGGAAGCTTGATCCAGCTTATACTCAACAGTCTGTTATACTCAACAGTCTGAGTGTACAGATTTATAAAATACAATAAGCTTTTTGTGTAGTTTTCAAATTGTGACTGTTCCTGATACAAGGGAAACATTAAGAGAGCACGATAGAGGGCTCCAACTGGGAAATTTAACGTTTTTCCCCATAGATTATTTGTGTTCACTTTCTGATTTTGTGAGTATTTCTAGTGGCATTTGCATCTTTTCTTTCTTGCCACAAGAACTAATTTTCCCTAAGATGCTGGAGGGTAAGTCTTTGCCCCACACTAAACAAAATTTATTGTCTTTTTGTTGTTTGTAAACCTCTTCCCCCTGTCTCCAGTATCCTGTTGGAATTTCTCAAGATTTGAAGCAGTATCTGTTTCTTCTCTCTGATCACCCACAGTTAGCTAGAGCATGGCTTTTCCCACAGAGAAATTTACATGTAGGCTGTGTACTAGGGATTAGCAGCACTTTGGTGAAAAAGATACTTAGCTCTTTGGCAAAACTATTGATTAAAATAATTTTTGGAGAGAAGACTTTTGAATTTTAGTTACTCTTTTTAAACATGAAAAATACCTCAGTTTACATAATAGTTGAGCCAAGGTAATATAATGAAGTCATTAAATTGTATGTTGCTCTCTCCTAGTATTAATTTTAAAGACCCACAGTTTGCTGAAGACTACATTTTTAAAGCTGTAATGCTTCCAGGAGCAAGGTAACAATGCGGTTATAAAATATGAACTATCTCATTTTATTTTGTATGAACAGTGTTTATTCCAGTACTAAATATTGTATTTTCAAATGGTCAGAAAACCAGCACCAGTACTGAAACCTAGTGACTGGGAAAAGTCCAGCAATGGACGGCAGTGGAAGCCCCAGCTTGGCTTTAATCGGGACCGGCGGCCTGTCCACCTGGATCAGGCTGCATTTAGGACTTTGGGGTGAGTAGTAGGTTGCTGTCCTTTGTATGTTTTGCTTTTTTTGAATCATTCACAAGGATTAAGTTAGTATTTATCCTACAAATATTTAAGAGACCATTAATTGAAACTACTTGGCAAATATTTTAATGACTTTGATACTCTCATGCTCTTCATTTTTAAAATTCACTTCTGTTTCTTTGGTTTATGCTTTATGTGTTATTTGAGAATTCTGTTATTTTCTCTTAAAAGGTTCTCCTGTCTTTCTGACAGATCTTTCAAAGTAATAGAACATTCTCTTTACCTTCAAGAAAGTTTTAGCTGAATTAAATGTATGGCAGAATCTGTTTAAAGTGTTAATCAAGGGGCGCCTGGGTGTCTCAGTCAGTTAAGCGTCTGCCTTCAGCTCTGGTCATGATCCCAGGGGACTGAGCCCCCCATGAGGTTCCCTGCTCAGCAGGAAGCCTGCTTCTCCTCTCCCACTCCACTTGCTTGTATTCCCTCTCTGTCTTTCTCTGTCAAATAAATAAGTAAAATCTTTTAAAAAAATAAAGTGTTAATCAATACATTACAATATATGATGCATAATATATAGCAAGTACATAATACAGTATATGATCAGTACATGAAGATAACTCAACTTTGATCCATATTCCTACTTCTTAGAATTTATCTTAAAATAATTTTAGAGGGGCATAAAGTTATATGCCCAAATCTATAGTGCATTATTAATAATAGTAGTACTAAATGAGAGGAATAGTTTAATAAAATGAGACATCACCATAGTGAAGTAGTGAATAGTGAAGTAGTGAAATAGTGAAGTACTCAATAGGTATACGTCCTATAATTACGAAGACAACGAAAAATATAGGGAAATGTTTCATAGAATTGAAAATGGCAAGTTACAGATCAGAAGTATATGTAGTGATAGCAATAGCATGGGTCCTTGAAGGCAAAACTTAAATATGATACAAAAAAGAAAAGTAGACTCACTCTTTACATTAATAACTAATTATCAGTTAAGAATCTTGGTGTGGCAAACAAACATACGCTATCACCCTTACCATTGGTACTATTTTGAACTTTGTTAATTATAAATCTTTTAAGTTTGTATTATCTTTATCAGATCTAGTAGTAAAGGGACAACTACTAGCATTTATTTAATTTATATCAGCTGTCATGTAATGAATCTGTCTATAAATTTTTTTCTGGTTGGTGGGATCCTTTTACAGCCATGTTATACCAAGAGGCTCAGGGGCTGGCGTTTATGGCAATGCTGCACCACCACCTGCAACTTATCAGGGGAACTTATACAGGCCGCTGTTGAGAGGACAAGCCCAGATTCCAAAACTTATGTCAAGTAAGTTTTTACAAATTGATATTTGACATGCTAAATGAAATATTACAGCAAAGGTTGGTTTCTAATCTCATTGCTAGAAAGATGTATTTTATCAGGGCAGAGATAGTGGACTATAAAAACATAGAAGAATTATAAGGGAATGTAAAGTCTTTCAGATACTTTTATTTTGGCTGTATATAGTTAATTGAATAATATGAATTGGATTTCTTATTTTCATCTATAAATATGCACAGTGAACCTGTGCAGAAGGAGGTGTGTGGAGTGAATTGCTGTTTATTCCATTAATACAAGTACTGGGGCAGTTAAATCCAGTGCAGTAGATGTGGAATTACAACCTCTTAATCAACTGAAAGACAATAGTATCTCCCTTTCATGATGCACATTGTATGTTGTGATGCATGTTAAGATAAAGCCAGGTATTGCTTTAGGTAGGAATACTCCTTTAACTTCGTGGTTCTGTGAAAATCTTGGCCTTTCCCTGACCCCTTGTAACCTGTTTTGTGGACAGAAGTGGTTCAGAAATGTTACCCACTGAAAATAATTACATGGCATTTGGATTATAGTGGAAAAGGAGAAGAAGGAGTTAAATGTTAGGCTTTTTATAGATTTTGTATTAATTTTAAATTGTGTCCCCATATTGTTATTTTTTGAGCTTTGTGGCTGTGTTCAAGTCATGTGCCAGGTTCTAAAAACCATCTTCTTCATAAAGCCTTTGCTTCTCCATTCCTGATTATCTGGTTGCTACCCAACCAAACTGGGACAGCATGGTGGTGGGGGAGACATGATGTGACTGTGGCAAGATGCTAAACCTTTGTTAAATCTAAGTGTTACTTTATTCAGTTTCTTTCTGATTGTTGGAAATATTTCATGCAAATTAAATTAACAAAAACAGGGGGCTGCTCTGAGAAATCTTTTTAAACCAAAGTTGTAGTTGTCAAAGAAATACCAGATTAATGTGAAGATTGTTGGGGAGTATTTATCCTATGTGCCTACCACTGTTTTCATGCTAATTAAGTTACAGGCCCACCTTTTTTTTTTTTTTTTTTTTTTTTTTTTTTTTTTTTTTTTTTTAAACTACCGAGATTTTCCTATTTTCCTGGTGAAGTATCCAGGAAGAAATTGGTTCTGAAGGTCTCATTCTGTCTTAGAGCTCTCTCTTTTCAGTGTATTCTCTCTTCCTGTCTATCTCTGTCTCTCTCTCTCTCTGTGGCTTTATGACATTGAATGGAACAATATTAAGACTACATGAAAACTATGGAGTTCAGAGGTTTTATTCTATTTAGTGAAACACAGAAAGGGCACAGAGTTTAATGGGCCTTGTGGGGATCTGCTTATTGCAGTAGTTTACTTAGCTGCTTTCCCCCTAAGATTTAGCAAATGACATTTCTGAGTATTTCCATATATATATCAAGCTATGCCACATTCAACAGAGAGGTCTTGGAAGAGTCACCTATGCCCTGACATTTTACTAGTAAATGGTGAAAGCATATCCAGCTTTTGATAAAGCCAGCTGTTTATTGACACATTCCTTATTAGTTCCTTTTTTTTATGACTCTTCACCATGTACATCTATCCATAATGGTATCATAGCTTCCAAATAGGAAGAAAAAAATGAGATGCAGAGTGCTAGTACCAAGTATATTCTCTATGGCTTAGGTTAGCTGGTATTTCTCAAAATGATGGTTATGAGGCATTTCTGAGGTTGTTCCATTTAGTAAACTTTGAGAAATTTGGAGAGAGGTTTGATCAGCAAAGGTGAAAGCATGTGTTCTCCATTATGTAGCTTCCTTTCATTTCTTGTTTCCTAAGGCCCAGTCTCTGGACCTGCTGTCACCATAATCCAGATTATCACCCAGACAACTACTTAAAACCTTTGAAAATCTTTTTTTTCCACTTAAATTGATTGATTTTAAATATAAGATTATATCAAAAGTATATGACATTGTATTTTTTCAGATATGCATAAAAATAAGTACATAATTATAAAGATAAAATGTTTGTTCACAGTCCCCAGAAACTGATCTTATATACCACCCGTGGTATGCATACCACACTTTGGGAAATATTCCCTAGATCTTCTAGGGAATCATAGACCCATATGGGAATCTATAAAAACCATGGACTGCCTTCACAGAAAATAAATCACTTACTCAGTATGGTATTCATGTAAATCCAGGTGCTTCATTCTCAGGTCCCCTTTCATCCTGCAGGATCCATCTCCAACAGTAAGAGTAAGAAGAAAGTCAGGAAGGTCTTTTATTTATCAAGGTCACATCAGAGGTAAAGAATTTCATGTCTTTCACGGCCTGTAATTTTTTATAGTTCTTAAGTTTGTCGTCTTCATCAACAGTCAGCTCTTACCAGATTAGCATCTGTGCATTTTATTTCAAATAGTAGGGTCACCTCTCCCTTTTTATTACCTTGAGTCTCTCATTTGCCATTGTTACCGGTCTTATAAGTGACTTTAATTAGAATCTATTTCAGTCAGAGTCTCTATTTTTATTATATCATTAAAAATAGGGAATATGTTTTGTAAAGTAGGGATTGATTTAGGGCAAGAAATGAGTGTCCCTCTCTGCCTGGTGACTTGTGAACACTGAGCCACCTGAGCATTAATGCTGGGACTTTCAAAGGGAATGGGAATGGTAGGAATGAAAAAGTTTATGGGAAAAAATCAGTAGGAATGTGCTATTCAAACTGAGCCTACTGAGGGGAATTTGGGCTACTCTGGCTTGATGGAAAAAAAAAAAAAGAGTTTAAAATATATGGCAAAAAGTCAGGTGGTATTAAGCTTAGAATAACTGGGGGCGCCTGGGTGGCTCAGTTCAGCGTTTGCCTTTGGCTCAGGTCATGATCCCAGAGTCCTAGGATCAAGCCCCTCATTGGGCTCTCCCTCTCCCACTGCTTGTATTCCCTCTCTTGCTGTCTCTCTTGTCAAATAAAAAAATAAAATCTTAAAAAAAAGAAAAGCTTAGAATAACTAGTACAAAATTTTGGGAGCATAAATGGGAACCAATTAAGAGGGTGGGAAAACTGATTTTTTTTTTCCTCCATACTTGTAGTGACATTTTAAATGGATTTTAACCATAATACATGTTAATTAAAGGAAACATGGCAGATAATAAAATATAAACACCCGTAATCCCATGGTCCTGCAATAAAGCAGTAGTTTCTTTCATTATATTCTTACATGCAATTTTTGAAAATTGGATTATTATACATGTATCTTCATATGCTTTTTTATTACAATGTAACATATAAAGTTCTGAGTCATAAGTGTGAAGTTTGATTAATTTCTATTCATGTAACCACTACTTTGATCAAAAAGTAGAAAGTGACCAGTCTCCAGAAGGCCCCCGTTATGTTCTTTCCCAGGTGCCACTCCAGCCCATTAAAGTAATTATTTTCCTGACTTCAGTGTCATAGATTTGTTTCATCTGTTTGTTTAATGGACTCTTAACATGATTGACCTTTTTGAAGATTTCCCCTCTTTTGTTCCATATTTTGTTTCTGAGATTTATCTGCATTGTTTCTGCAGCAGTTCATTCATTCTCACACTTCCTCTGCTCCATCAGTGAATATGTCGTCATTTCTCTCTCTTTGGGATAGTGTTTGGGTTGGTTCCCGGTTTGGGGCTTCTGGAGTAGTACTGCTATGAAATTCCTGTGTGTCTTTGAGCACACATAAGTAAACATCTCTGATGGGTAGGTATGTACAAGTAGTGGAATTGCAAGGCTAAGGTCACGTGCATGTTCAGCTCTCGTGAATAAAAATGCCAGACACATTTCCCAAGTTAAATTCAGTTTATACCAATTTACATTCCTTTAGCAGTGCAGGGAAGGTCCAATTGCTCCACATTCTTACCAGTCCTTGGTATTGTCAGTCTTTACACCTGTAGCCATTCTGCTGGATGGGTAGTGGTCTTCTACTGATATTTAATTAACATTTTCAGATGTTTTAGCCAAAATTTTTTTCTGATTTTTCTCCCCATGAATCTGTCAAGATGGTAACCAAAGTGCATGTGTTAAGTACATTTATTTTTCCTTCCTGTGTTAATTAGATGTGTGGAATAATGTTAATTCAAAACTTCTGAAATGTTGAAAGTCGTTTTAAATCCCTGATCCTGCCTTCTTGAAACCGTAAGCTTGTGAGCCTCTTGGTTAAGGTAGTGGCTCTCCTCTGATCTTCCTGAAGTAACCTGGAGAGTCACCTATACCAACAGCACAAGTTCATCTGAACTGTGGAGTAGCATAGTGTAGCATGTAGCGTGGTTAAGAGAACATAGCCCCTGCTTTTACCGTGCCACTTAGGAGCCCTGTGACATCCCCGCCGCCCCCCACCTCATTTCTAAAATGGTACTGAGAATACCCCTCTCACAGAATATCCATAATAAAGGACTTTAAGTTATTAAGCACTGGAAGTGGTGCCTAGCACACAGTAAGTGCTATGAGGGCATTAAATATTAAAAGATCAGTTTTCTTTTTTATAGAATCTTGAACTGTGAAATTTGGTCAGAAATAGTTACAGTAAAATTGAGATCTAAGCCATTTAATTTTTTTAATGTTTGTAGTATCATAGCTATTTTCTTTATGTGGTACAAAATAACACTCAAGGCAGGCCATTTGGTCAAACTCTGCTGTAGGTGTTTTTCACTGTTGGTTTTTGATTTGTCTTTGATGTGTCAGTTTTTGGCTGATGAGTAATTGTCTGGGTACTGATAACTTGCTGGAGTCAAGTGCAGCCTTGAGTACTCCATGTGAATAAAACATTTCATTTCTGTAACCCAGAGAACCCAGTATGTCACTTCTCTTCATTTCAGTTGGTAAACTTGTCAATTAGCTGCATTTGGAAAGTGATTTTTGATTAGTGCAATCAGTAAACATGGAATCTTTCCTGTGATTGCCACGCTGATTAGGTAAATTGTCACTTGAGGAGCTATTGGCGAAGCCTTAGTTTATATGGCCTTAGAGCTTTAGAAAAGGGATAAGTTTTTAAAGACCAAAGGAAAAAATTAACTGTCATTTTTCCTCTCTCGCTGGTACCTTTCTGAAGTGCAATTCACTACCTCAGAATTTTTTTTTCTTCCTCTCAATGGATCTTCTGTTAGAGCCATACAAATGAATGATAATAAGTTTGTTTTACCTTCTACTTCATTACTTATCAGCCAGGAAATATTTCTGCTTTATGAATACTTAAGGGTTATATATATTTCTCGGAGCCACATGAAGAGATTTGTTTAAAATTAGCCTTGAGGGGCGCCTGGGTGGCTCAGTGGGTTAAAGTCTCTGCCTTCAACTCAGGTCATGATCCCAGGGTCCTGGGATCGAGCCCCACATCGGGCTCTCTGGGCAGCAGGGAGCCTGCTTCCCCTTCTCTCTCTCTCTGCCTGCCTCTCTGCCTACTTGTGATCTCTGTCTGTCAAATAAATAAATAAAATCTTTTTAAAAAATAAATAAATAAATAAATAAAATTAGCCTTGAAGGTTTTCTTTGATCCTTTTTATTTTTCTTTTCTTGGTTGAAAGCAAGAGATGTTTTAGTAAGTGTGTGACAGAATTTTTACATCTTAGGAAATTTGCTTAGGTTTTAACAAAAACTATAGTTTTTGCATGTGCTAAATGTGAAAGCAGTTATTCTGGAAGTGAGAAATAGTAAAAGCAAAATAGAGTGTGAAGTACCTGGCATACTAAAAATGGAAATAGGGACTTTGGCCATTTGTCTAGGCAGGTGCATAGGTAGACTATTAAGAAGGATTCCTTCTCTCTACAGACAGTATTTGTACTTAATGAGCTTTACATTCCAATTCCACTTAGAAATATTGTTGTGCTTAATCTAACATGAAGCATATTTGAATCTAATGAATATGTATTCTGGATGATGGTGACTTTCCCTCCATTTGTTCTGTTTCTAGGAGAAAATATACAAGATTTTTTTCTGCCTTTATTTTTCATGAAACATTTTTGAGGTTTTTCTTGATTTAGATGTGTCTTATTTTTGCTTAATTTTAAATTTATTAGGGATCCTGTGTGGAAGCTTCTACAAGTACCATGGAAAGTTTGTATTCTGTGATGATACCATGTATATAGAGACCCCATGGAACCAAAATCACGGAATTAAGTCTTCATGGTAAAAAGAGGCATGTTTCCAGGATGACTATAAGTGATTCTGGGACATGTGAAATACAGAGCTAGACAGAGGTCCAAATGAAATTCACTGTATTTCTTTTGATTTTGGTTAGTTAAATTAGCTAATTTGATATATGTAAGATGCCAAAATAAAATATACTTCTGGAAACATTTTAACCAGTTCTCATGAAACTAACTTGTGTACAACATCTGCATAGACCAGTGGACTTCCATGTTTAACAAAGTAATGATCAAAGAGGCACCTGGGTGGCTCAGTCGGTTAAGTGTCTGCCTCAGTTGGTTAAGTGTCTGCCTTTGGCTCAGGTCATGATTCCAGGATCCTGGGATCAAGCCCCAAATTGGGCTCCTGTTCCTCCTCCCCTCTGTGCATGTTTTTTCTCTCTTTCACTCTCGTTCTTGCACTCTCTCTCAAATAAATCTTTAAAAAAGGAAAAAGTGGCCCAACAGTTTATTTTACTTTCAGTAGATTGCTTTCTCATGAATGGTAATGTGTTGAAAATCATGTATGTGTTGAAGTAAGTGTATTTCACGTTTTTTTGTAGTAATAAACCACACAGATTATCATTGCTGTTTTTGTAGGAAATTCTGGTTTTACCTCTAATGATTATGATTTCCTGTTTATATATGGTCTGTAGTAATGATTCAGAAATTATTCTGGGCCTGTAGGGATCCTTCTTTCCCTGTTGGCTGTGGGTTCTGTGGTGATAACCCCCATGTCCCCATTCAGGTTTGGAATATCTAATGACTGCATGAAAATTCCTCAGCAGTGTTCCTCAGTTTGACCTCTGCTAGTAATGGCTTTTAAGAGATGGAAAGGGTCTTAATTGAAATTGACTAGAGGTGCCACCTTCCTTTTTATGTTTTTCTTAGATTTTATTTTATTTCTTGATTTTTTATTAACATATAACATATAACATGTATTATTTGTTTCAGGGGTACAGGTCTGTGATATATCAGTCTTACACAATTCACGGCGCCCACCATAGCACATACCCTCCCCAGTGTCCATAACCCAGCCACCCTATCCTTCCCATCCCTCTCCTCCAGCAATCCTCAGTTTGTTTCCTGAGATTAAGTCTCTTGTGGTTTGTCTCCCTCTCTGGTTTTATCTTGTTTCATTTTTCCCTCCCTTCCCCTATGATCCTCTGCCTTATTTTTCAAATTCCACCTATCAGTGAGATCATATGATAATTGTCTTTATCTGATTAACTTATTTCGCTTAAAGTAATACCCTCTTAAGTAATTACCTTAACGTAATCCATCCACATTGTTGAAAATGGCAAGATATCTTTTTTTTTTTTTTTTTTTTTTTTAATGAGATGCCACCTTTCAATTCAGAATGGGTCTCTGCATGAAAATAATGGTGGTGAAGGCTTCCTGCTGCTTTCCAAGAGAAGCATCTATTGTGGGTTTGGCTGCTGGACACTTCGTGCTGGCCGAGGCGCAGTGCGCTTTGGCTGCCCCCCTGCTCTGGCCAAGGATGGTTATCTCTTTAGGAAAACTCTTCAGGGGGCAATGTCAGCCTTGTTGAGGTTGGGAGAGCCCAAAACAGTAGTAGTTGTTCACACTGTAATCATGTGAACAGCTAGATCCTCTGCTTGTTCCATGTTCTCCTTTGTGGGGCTTTAAAGCATAATTCCATTTTTCTCTCCACCCCCTCCCTTTTTTAAGTAAACCCAGATTGCATTTTTTTGGTTCTTAACCAGAGATAAGCTTTCATTTCTTCTTTCCTTTAAGGAAGTAATTTTGAAAAGCATGTTTCTAGTTTGTGTTTCCATTAAAATGTGAGTCTGAATACATTATGGTAAGCCTTGTTGTCCTTGGGTCTCAGGAGTCTGGAGGAGGTTACTGTCCTCACACAGTGAACTCATTAGACAACTCCTGGAACCAGCTGTTTTAATTAGGTCACACACAGACCCTGCTGAAGGGTGGCCAAGGTGACTGCAAGACTGGAGACCGGAGCAGAGCAGCACTTGGTTTACATGACCTGCTGAGCTGCTGAGTGCCCGCCTGACCAGTGTTTGGGGCTGCTCCTTTCAGCTTGGTTACATGCAGGCGTAGCAGCCATTTAGTTATTCCTTGGAGTCAGATGTTGCCAGTTCAGCTTTGTGTTAGAGGAGAAAGTTTGAGTCTCAGAAAACAATGGAAAAGTGGGTGGTCCCTTTATTAGCATCTTCTGGCCTGTGTTGGAGAAATGCATGCCCTCCACTTTGTTGTGATAGCTAGGTAAGCCAGAGTTCCTTCCAGTTTCCATGCTTAAGGGGAAATTCTCAGGATTTCTATTGAAGTTACTATTCTTCCAGTTGTATTTATGGAAAAGAACCTAAATCCCTTTCTTTTGCACAGCATTTAAAATAAAAATGTGAAAAACATACCTTTACATACTCATGCATACATACATAGGTAGTGAGAGAGAAATGTTGGAGTTTAATGACTAAGACTCTTGAAACTATGTTTCATTATCAAAGGAAAAATAATGAAAAATTTACTGACCCTGTTGATTTTGTGTCTTTTTACATTTGTAGTTTGTATAATTATGCTAGCTTATTTAGTTTGTATTTTGTCTCAGATTTTTTTTTCAAGAAATTTTTATTTATAAGAATATAATATGGGTAGCTGAATAGTGATTACTTCTTAATTGAATTCTGGAGTTTCTTTGATGTTGAGTTGTGTCAGTTCTTTATATATTTTAGATACTAACCCTTTTTCAGATATATCATTTGCAAATATCTTTGGTTCTGTAGGTTGTCTTTTAGTTTTGATTGTTTGCTTCAGTCTGCAGAAGCCTTTTATTTTGATGTAGTCCACTAGTTTATTTTATGCTTTTGTTTCCCATGCCTCAGGAGACCTATCTAGTAAAATGTTGCTGTGTCCTATGTCAGAGAAATTACTGCCTGTGCTCTCTTCTAGGATGTTTATAGTTGTGATTACTTAAAATCTTCTGTTGACCCTTCCCTGTTTATTTTCCAGATATGAGGCCACAGGATTCCTGGCGGGGTCCTCCTCCTCTTTTCCAGCAGCAAAGATTTGACAGGTAATATTAAAGCAAACATGACTTTTAAATATTTTTCCACATCAACATTTGAGTTTTGGGCTTTCTCCAGGGTTTGAAATGTACTTTCTTCCCTCTAAACAGTTTCTGTTGTGCTTCTTTTAGGAAAATAGATGCCTAACACATTGAATTAAAAGACTCCTCTTTATATACTTTCCCACTTCCCTTGGTCCTTGCCCTTTATTTTAGTGAATGTTTTAAGGTGGCCTGAAAAATGCAACACAGAGGGCTTAAAATTGTATTAGGTTTTGGTCAGGCTAAACAAATTTCTTTTTAGAAGGCTTGTGCAGCTTAATGAGGCATAACTAATGGTGTTCCACTTTTATCATTTCTGTGCGGGCAACACAGCATTAGTACAGACCAACCATTGATTCTTGCTACAGACCTCTTGAAGTCCTAATCAGCTTCTTTGGTACAACTTTTTCAGGGCTGACAAGCCTATTGTAGGGCAGTGTCACTGTAGGTCAGTAGTTATTAGTTGCCACTGAAAACAGTTTCTTTAACTGCTTAAGACTGAACTGAATTAAATGCAGAAGGGACTCAGAAAAGGATTATGGGATCTGCAGTCTAATAAGTACTGGGGACTAGGAAGAGTGTGACATGGTTTAATAACAAGGGATGTTTGACTTATGTTCTTTCATTGATAAGTTGTGTGCTCCTAAGTCAGGTGGTTTCTACATGACGAGACAGCTAGGCATATTATGAATAATTATATTAACATCTGTAGAATAATTTTTTACAGGACAGCTTTCAAACCTATCATTTTATGCTGGTTTGCCAGCATCAGTAAATGCTGAAACCAATTAAACCTATAGTAAGGCTTCCCTCTTTGCCTTCCCAATTCTAATCTGTTTTGTTCCCCTCTCTTTTACTGTTTTAGCAGTCTGATCATCTGAAATGAATAAAAGTGTTGTTATGAATGGGATTATAAATGTTGCTCCCCTTTTAAGAAAACTTTCTTTGGAGATTCCCAAACTTCATTTCGTGATTTTCTTCAAGAAGATTAAATCATGTTACTAAATTATGTATTAATAGTAGCAACTACTTAGTGCAAGCTGCTTTTTAAATTTAAGATGACTCATACAATGCCTGAATTTATGTTTTGTTTTCAATATAAGTGCCCCAAGCATACCCTACTTCCACATCTTTGGGATACTACCATTTTCAGACAAATTAGAAAATGAGTAAGGCTTAAATTTTTCCTAAATTACAAATTACCACATTGGAACTGATCTCATTTTAAGTAACTGTCTTTCTGCATTAAGTTTGTTGAGTTTGATTTTCAGTTTCCCTAGTTTGTTGCTTGCTTCTCTCCCGTGTCGTTAATAATAAGGGTTCGTAGGCAGAACCTTTACAGTCTGCCTACGAAGTGTCAGCACTGTGAGTGAACATGCCTTTAGAAAAGACTTCATTTATTCCTCCTAGCAAGCCTCTGAAGTAGATGTTGTTTTTACAGATGAGGAAACCTAGGTACACAGCAGTCGAGCAGTTTCCATACATTTCTCTTCTATACCATTCTTTACTAAGAAACTTTGACTTGAACAAACAACTTTTTAGAATGCTTATGTGAACATAATGTTATAGTAAAGCTGTAGGGACTTAGAGGAAATAAAGGATCTCCTTCCACTTTTGAGACATTCTTTCTTCATTTCCAGTGGCTTTGCTTCCCTCTAGACACTGAAAGATCTCCTAAGATCATCACCATTGTCCTGATTTCCATCAGGTTTTTGTTCTTCTGCCCTAGCCAAGTACTCGTATTGTATCCTGACTGTCTTTGTGAACCCAGCAGTTAGGGACAAGTTTTGTGGATTCATTTTTGGTCTAATTTTAGTTGGAAACTTGAAATACTACCTTAAAGCAGAAGTTAAATGTGAGCATAAGAAAATTCTTAGACCATGTCATTTAAGAAGCATAACATTCATAAAGAAAACAAAGTTTGAATTCAGCCACCTGAAATTTGTCCATTAGCCTGTTAGCAGATACAGACTGACAAGTGTGTCTAACCATTCTGATTTCACAAGGCGTAGAGGAGAAAATAAAAACTTGTAGTCACTTTGACTTTACTGAGATGTGACACAACTGGTAAGTAGTAGAATTCTTACTGGAACCAGTTTTACTGATTTTTTTTAAAAGATTTTATTTATTTATTTGACACAGGGAGAGCACAGGCAGGGGGAGCAGCAAGGAGAGGGAGAAGCAGGCTCCTCACTGAGCAGGGAGCCTGACCCAGGGCTTGGGCCCAGGACCCCAGGATCATGACCTGAGCCAAAGGCAGACACTTAACCTGCTGAGCCACCCAGGCACCCCTGATCCTTATTATTAGTTCAGTACTTGCCCACTGCACTATTTTGGGTATTTGGTTGAGAACCCTAACTAGAAAACAAAATGTTGAATGTACTTTTTTTTGCTAAAATACACTGTTTCTTGAATTTTCCTACTTTGAGGTAGTATCTATACTCCATATGTTCATTTCATTTAAAAATACAACAGGGGGCACCTGAGTGGCTCATTGGGTTAAGCATCTGACTCTTGATTTTGCCTCAGGTCATGATCTCAGGCTCGTGGGATAGAGCCCTACCTCAGGCTCATGCTCAGCAGGGAGTCTCCTTGAGATGTCTTTCTCCCTCCCTCTCTCTGCCCCACCCTTGCTTCATTCATGCTCTCTTTCTCTGTCTCTCTCAAAAATAAATAAATCTTAAAAAAAAAAAAAAATACAACAGGAACTGCCCCACCCTTGCCTTCTTGCACAGAGACGGGCCAGCTCAAACTGAGTGAATGGTAGAGAGTATTTGAGTTCTCTTCGTCGCTAGAGTTCTGCCCTGTTGTGCGTGTAATTCTTGCCAGGGAGGGCTTCTCTTTTCTGGCCATATCCAAGGTGGCCATTTACTTTTTAACTTATGGGCATTAGGCTTAGTCAGTCATGGAAAATCTTTAAAAACTGCCATATATATAAATTTAAAATATCCAGATTGGTTGTAGTGACTTCATATTGCAAGCTACTTTCCAAAATGGGAATTTAGAAACTTAAGAATTTTTTTTAAGATATTATTCATTTATTTGACAGAGAAATCACAAGTAGGCAGAGGGACAGGCACAGAGAGAGGGGGAAGTAGGCTCCTGCTGAGCAGAGAGCCTGATGTGGGGCTCCATCTCAGGACCCTGGCATCATGACCTGAGCTGAAGGCAGACTCTTAACCGACTGAGCCACCCAGGCGTCCCAAAACTTAAGAATATTGTTGTCATAGAAAAAAAAAAACAAAAAACAGAGTCTTAACCATAGAGGGCAAACTGCTGGTTACCAGAGGGGAAGTGGGTGGGGATGGGTGAAATAGGTGATGGGGATTAAGACACTCACTTGTCATGATGAGCACCAGGTGGTGTATGGAATTGTTGAATCACGGTGTTGTACACCTAAAACTAACACTGTGTTTTAACTATACTGGAATTAAATTTTTTTAAAAAACATTTTAAAAAAAGAAAATCGAATGTTGGCAATAATGTAAATATATATATGTAGTTGCCATCCATGATGCCAAATGCCTCAGGTAAGTTGTCTCAGTAGATAGCTACTAATTTAAAAAAGGTAAAATGTGTCAACCTCAATACTTTGGTCCCAGATTTAAAGTGTATTTTTGAAGGTAAATTTACTTGTAACTACTTGCAAATTAATACAGTTAGTATAGAAATATGGTAGACCTGTAGAAAAGAAAGGACTGCCAGTAAAAAGCAAAAGAGGATAGTACCTGTCCCTCCTACTGTTCTTTCTATTTAATTTCAATTAAAATATTTTTATAAAAATTATCTTTCAAAAACATTTTAAGTAATTATTTTGAACAAAAAGAGGACTTTGTGCTTTTAAATTGTGGCTTTGTTTCTAACCTATTTTTAGAATATAAAATAATGTAAAATTGCATTTATAATATCGTCCATACCAGCAGATTTTCCAGAAGCCCAGTTGAGTGAGTTTGATCATTGCAGAACTGAAAATAAAAATTGATTACAGTTAACACAATGTGTGAGTTGCATCTTTGGTGTGTCGGTTTTATGTTAATGGCCCAGTTTTGATAAGCCTCCTTGGTTACAGTACAAAATATTAACCCTTCACTCCTTAGAGATCAGAAGAGAACATTCCTGTCTCTCTGCATAATTGTTCTTTCCAAAGAGATGGGACACTCTTGCTAAAATATATTTGTATTAGTAATGAGCCTGAAAAATAATAAAAGCCCTGAATATATGGATATTCCCTCTGAGATATATTTTTTATTTTGAGTACAGCAGATTTTATTGGTTAAAGCTCTGGTTTCACCACTAACTGTGAAGAATAGTATTGGCTTCTCTATAGTTCTTCAAGGAGTTGTTCTTTGAGTCATCACACAAAAAGAATTATCTTTGGTATTAAAAAAAAACAAAAACAAAAACAAGCTCCAAGTGAAGGCAAGGAGAATGGGAGGGTAGAGAGGATGGATTCAGGTTTGAATAGTTGTGAGAAGAATGCATTACCCAGCATTACCCAGTGAGCCCAACTTCAAGCTGTTCCCCCCACCCCCAGCACCTGGGAAGTGAAATTCATATGCTGGTATGGTTGCAGTTAGTGCTTTAGCAATTTTAAAATTCTGTGATTTCTCCTAAAATCTGTAATGGCCTCAAAGCATCTGGTGTTAAAAATATATTGGAGAATTTTGCTTCTATTCTTTATAGTGACTGTTCTGTAAAATGGAAGTTGAAAATGCCTCGATAAAATTGTGTCTTACATGGTGATTATCTTTAGAAGGTGTATCTTGGCTACATTGTTTATGTGACAGTTTTACATTATTATTTAATACATCATACCTGTTGCTTTGTATCTGCAAAGTTAAAATAGGCACTTGAAGACAATTAAAACATTTCTTTTGACTAGTAATCTGGGCCGGCAAACTGGGTTATAATAGCTGTTGAATTTGTGTTCCCATGTAAACTGTACACCAAATGCCAGTCAGCCCATGCCAATTAGTGCTCATGTTGCTAGGTCACCGTGGTCAATTGAAAACTGCATCAATAGAACTTGAAAAGGTTTCCTCCCGATCAGACCTTCTGACATATTGAGCAGAATAATGGATGGGAAAAAACAGCCAAGTCCCCTACCCTAGATTCAAAATACTGAGCAGTAAGAATTCATTTGCAACCTGCAATTAACTAGAAAGAATGGACTCCAAGAACGAGTCTAGACATTTTTAAAAATAAAGCCCATTTTCCTGTCTTGTACATATTTACTCTTTGGATAGCGTCTTAAATGTAACCAACTTGGTGATCTTGGGTCCAAATATTCAAGTGACCAAAAAGGAAATTTCATAGTTGAAAATGAACAAAATATTTTAAGTCCTACGTTTCTGATTCATTCGTGTTTAGATCCCTTTTCTTTAAATGCTGATACTTAAACATGTTAGACTACGTTGAATATGAGGGGCATAAAGGTCGCTCTGATGCTGTACGTCCCATTTGACAAATGCAGGCAAATTTGATTGTCCTAAGAGTTGGAGATGATGCTAGCCAGTTTGATACTTTGAGCTATGTAACAGGTTTGACTTATAATGCAGACATAATACTTCTCCACAGAGGCGTTGGGGCTGAACCTCTGCTACCATGGAACCGGATGCTCCAAACCCAAAATGCAGCCTTCCAGCCAAACCAGTACCAGATGCTGGCTGGACCTGGCGGGTATCCACCCAGACGCGATGATCGTGGAGGGAGACAGGTGATACAGTGTGGGCTGTGGCATGAAAAGCACACTGCACACTTGGTACTTAGCCATGCTTCTCAGGACACCGTATTTTCCTAAAAACATTTCTGGATGAGATACTGATAGTGTCAGTCAGCTGAACTTGGGTCCCTCAATTTAAAATGTATATAGAGTGAGTCTGTGCCTTACTCTATCTGTTACACCCTGAAGATGCTAAAGGTTTTCCAGCCCCAGAGTCCTTTTAATCATAGAGGTCAGTAATATTTAGCACAAATAGAGTCAGTTGCCAAAACATTTTTTTATCCTTTAAGGATGTTCTTTATAGTAGTAGAAACTAGATTTCATAGTAGATAATTTTGTAGAAGCTGAAAGCAATAGTCTACCCTTTTAGCTGTTACCTTTATTCATCTTAGAAGTCTCCTCTGTCTTGATTCATCTGGGATACCCCTTTTCATGGAAAGAAATATCTCCTTCATTATTTCCCACATATTTTTAAGCTAAATTTAAATAGCTTTACAATGAGTATAACAATTCCTAGACAAATTTATTTAGCATGTGTGAGCTTCATTTCCTTCTCTGTAAAGTATCCAGTTTAAGCAGAATTTAAGACAGAGGTCTGTTTGCCTCAGTCTATTTGTCCCCCCAGCCATTTGACACCTGGCTAGTATTTACGTGCTCTGCAATCAAATCCTTGCCAGAGAACAGGGTCTGAATACTCCGATTTAGTGTGTGCAGTGTTCATAGAGTTTAGCACCTGTGGTGATGTGAAGTGGTTTTAAAATTGCTTACCTTGTGTTGCCTACAGGCCTTTTGCAGTGCTTCGAATATTAATTTTCTTACACAGGTTCTTGGCATGCGGTCCCTTTGTGTAAGACCTCTCTTTTGACAGCTTAGAAAGATGTTTTTTTTTCTTCTACACATTTTTGTGTATCTTTTTACAAGGCTATTCACTTTATAAGAAAATAATCATTTAATTATCTTTTGAGAGAATTTTAAAATTTATTAAAATCTGTTCATAGAATTTTATTTTGAATTACTGTCAGCCCCAGAGGTCTAAAAATCATATCAGTAGTTTGCCATTTTATGCTGAAGAGTTGATGGGATGATAGTAGGCAGTCTACAAAATGAGTATTACTGAAATGGGGACATACTTATAAACTAGAAGAAACCCTGGAGAATTTTTAGTCTGATTACCTTATTTTTCCAAGTGGGAAACAGCAGTGGCAGCAGAGCTGTGGCCTGGCTGCCGGGTTCTTCTGAGCCCAGTTCCTCTGGTTTCTCATCTCCTTCAGAGAAGGTCTTCCCTGGAAGGAACTCTCTGTTTTTACAGCAGGTAAAATCGTTATTCACTTAGAAGATACAAACCAATTGGTAAATTTATAATTCTTTTAGGACCTTTTACAAATACATTTCTTTTTCTCACTCTCTCTTTTTACAGATACTTTTTATTAAATCACAGGTTTTGAAGTACTGTTAAATTGCAGAAGTTCATTGTTAAAAACAGTGTAATTATGACCACTCTATTTAGTGAAGTTTATATGACTAAAAATAAAGCCTTAATGGTCTACACATACTCATTATAATTTAAACCACTGAATGACAACACGGGGCCAGGGTGTGGGGTGGGGAGTCTGTTTCAGAATCCTAGAGGCCTAGAAAGGGAATTGTGAGGGAATTTTTTTGTACAGAAATGTTATTTGTAAGCTTACTAGGATATGTTGTGAATGTCACTAGTAATTATGTAATAATCTAATGTGTTACTTAATACTCTACTATTTATAGCTAAACATACCCAAAAAAAATCCCTAAAATTAATAGTTCATTAGGCCTCAGCTGCCTTATCAAGCTCTTGTCTTGGTTAAACAAAATGATTTTTCCAGCATATGTCTAAAGATGATGTGGACATCTTACCACAATGTGACTTGAATTACTGCCAGGGGTGGCAGGGAAGATTGAGAACCACTAGTCTTTTACACAGGTCCCTCAACTGTAGTTCATTTGTGTGCATTTTAAGGAGTTTCTTAAGTGCGTGTTAGAGCTCCTTTGGGTAGTTTTCAGTTGTACCATTTATAGCAAGCTTTGCATGAAACTGGGGGCCTAAAGCATCTATTTATGAAAGACCTTCCATGTTAAATACTTTTAAGACATATTCAGCTTCTGTGGTGTGTTTTTCCAGAGAGATGTAAAATTAATTTCTTTGAAGGGGTGTTAATCCAGAAGATAAACTCTCGCTTTTGCTTATTTACAGGGATATCCCAGAGAAGGAAGGAAATACCCTTTGCCACCACCCTCAGGAAGATACAGTTGGAATTAGGCTTTTGTAAAGCTTTCCCAAATCCTTTCATCATTCTACAATTCTATGCTATTTGTGGAAAGATTTCTTTCTCAAGTAGTAGTTTTTAATAAAACTACAGTACTTTGTGTATTTCTTTTAACTGTGTATATTTCTACTGACCTGATCTCACTGTTTATGTTGCTTTCCAAAGATGTGTGTTGTATAATACAGTGGATCTGAATTTATTATTGCTTGTAAAACACATTTGATGGAATAGGAATACTGGTTTTTCATTATGGTTAAAATCAAACCAGCTGTGGATTTTAAAACACAGTATATTCTAGATCATCTAAGATCCATGCTGATTTTTAATGCACAAGAATTAGGTATGAACTCCTGAGCTGGAACCCTCAGCTAACTAGAGTATATATTGTTCAGTATTTCTTTGGAAACATTTCATTAATGTACTTGTCTTATGGAAATTTCTGGACTTTAGTAAAAAAAAAAAAAAAAAAAAAAATGAAAACTTTGGTGTCTTGTGTCCTTATTACAGAATTTCAACATTGAAAATCTTGGCCATGTGTTGTTTTAAGTCATTTTTTCAGACAATCATTTCTAAAATTAGATGTCAAAAGAACACCAATGAAGAAGCAAGACAACCCAACGAACTCATATGTTAGTATGTGAGCTACTGACTTGGCTAACTATACAATCTCTAAGAATAAGTTATTTATGTTTTACAAATTTTCATATGGACTTGTCCTTCAGTTTTAAGGCTAGTTTTACATCTTTAAGAAAAGGTGAAAAGTTTAATTTGTAGCTACTTAGCCTGTGCTCCTTAGCATATTTTTTGCATTATTTTGTAATAATTTCAGTTTGTACTCATTTTTTTTTGCTAGTCAGCACACTTACTCCTTAAATTTATTCTTGATGTTCATACATGGCATTTCCATATGCACTTTCATTTGTTTGCCACAACAAATTTACACACATGTGTAAAGACTTGCTGCTTTGTTACCATTTGCTTATTCTAGCCTAAGATTGTAGAATAAGGTTTTTCTTTGACCTTCTGATTTAGGACATTTTTGCTTAATAGTTCAACTAAGGCACACTTGTTAATCTTAGCCTATGCAGAGAAAAGGCCACCTTAATCTTAAATAAGAAGGTATTTTGAAGCTGTTGAGTTCTTTGCTGGTGATGGGTGAATAGAGAAAGGTCCTTCATTGTTGAGACAAAGCCTCTCTGCTGGGAATTAACACAACCATTATAACCTTCACAATATGTTAAAGTGATAACACCTTTTAAATTTCTCTATGTTCCAAATACTACAAATGAATAGCCACCTAAATCAAGTATTTCATATTCCAGACAGCCCATATAAATGTCCTACTCTCTATAGCTTCATAGATACCCCAAACCCACACTTCCACAAAACCTATATTTTCTCAGATTTTTGGTTTTTGTTTAATTTTTAGCTGTCATGAGTGTGTATAAAATAATTGTTTTTGCTTGTCCTATACACAGTTACATATAACTGTTAAAATTTTTTAATTTGAATGTTTAAAGTATTTTGAAAGCATCTAAGCCAAAAACCTGATGGAAAAGCTGTGCCAGCTAGATTCCCTCTACCTGGTGGGGTGTCCTGGAGGACACCTGCCCCCTAGATGAACCCTCACTTACAGGTCTGCTGCATTCCTTCATCCTTGCTCCCTCCTCTTGCTCCTTACTCCTCCTTCCTCTCCTTCCAACTTGTCCCCCCAAGTCTGAATCTGCCAGAAAAATGTCCTATTATTTCAACAAATGAACGCTTCTTAGAACTTCAAATAGAATATTTAAAGCTATAAGCATTCCCTCCATATTTGGATATAAAAATAGTTAATGGACCCCATTTAAATAACTACTCATACTATCTAAGTAGGAGACCTGTTTTCAGGGTCTCCTATTAAAGATGCTTAAAAATCTTAGAACATGGAACAATGATACTATTGTGGCTCTAAGGGCCCTTAATGAGCAGTTGTCTTCCCTTTAAGGATCAAATGAGGTAATGCACGTTAAAATAACAAAGCCATCCACAAACTATTAGATTGCCATTTGGCGTTACAAAGGCAAATTGGGTGTAATGAGCTATGGTTAATTTTCGTCCTAGGGCGCGGGACGTCTGGGCGGGCCGGGGTGGAGCTGAGGGTTGGGAGCTCCCGTTTTCCGTGGGGCGCATTGGAGGTCGGGCGCACTGGAGGTCGGGCGCACCTCCGACCGAGTCGAGGGCCTCGGGGCGCGGTGACATCGCAGCCGGGCGGGACGGTGGCGGCGTCCGGGAGCCACTGGCCTGGCGCGGCGGGGACAGACGGGCTGCTGCTCTGAGGCAAGGTCCCAGGCGCGCCGGCGGAGCGAGTTAGCGCACCCCATCCGCCGGCTCCTTTCGGCGCCCGCTGCCTCTCCCGCCCGCGCCCCGACCCGCGTCCAGCCGCTCACCGGCTCGGGAGCCCCGCGAGCTGCCGGTGTCTAGTAGGGTGGGCGCAGGAAAGTTCAAACCCCTGACCTGCAGTCTGGGCAGTGTGGTTTCGGCCGCCGCCAAGCCCAAAGTGAATCATTGCAGCCGCAGCCCTCGGTTCCTGGAAGTGGCGCCGCGGCTTTCTCACCTGCTCGTTTTACCGTCTCAACTCCCTGCACGAAATGCAAACACCGAGCCTGTAAGGGGATAGCGGAGATCTTCCTTCCGAGGCTGCAGTTTTAAGTTCTAAGTCTGAGCGTAACCGAATTTAGCTAAATTTAGAAATCTGAAGTTGAGACATTCTCTTAAGAGTCAACTAAGACTCTCCATTCCCGGACCGCTGAGAGCTGCCAGGCTCCGTCCCGCTAGTCCGACGTCTCTTCCTGATCGCTCCAGAGGGTCAGGGAGCTGAGTTCTCGCCAGACTCTTCCTGGAGATCGACTGTCCTGCTATTTCTAATTAGGAAAAAAGTCAACAAACAATAAAATAAGAAATGGCCCCTTTCTCGACAGATTTTTCCTCCACTCAGGGTAAAGTTAATCTCTTGTGTTGCTTGTTTCTGGATTTCGTATTTACGGAATGAGGAGGGCTAAAAGAAAACATGCTTTGATTTTTGTATGTGAAATGGGAGTAGAGCTATATTCACTACTGCAAAATAGCACAACTTAGAGTTACGCAATGTTAGTGGTTAAACCTTTATTAGAAGTTACCTAAACAATGACTGAAATAGAGGTTACACGGGATTTAAAAAAATAAAATAAAAGGCATTTCATTCGATTTTGGGTACACATTTCATTGAATTGCGGGTATACATCTAAAGCAAAAACAATGAAACAAAAAAACTCTCCCAGAAGCTTCCACTACCCCAAAATGAAAAATGATAAAATAAAAGTGATCCTGAAATCACTAAGTTTTCTAAGTACTTACTAGGGAGAGCAAATTCCTGTTGGAATGTGAATGCAGTGCCTGTCTGCCATTTTCTCTGAATCTTCTCCAGATGCTCACCAATTCTCACTAGCAGTCTCACTAGCAGTAAAAAAAAAAAAAAAAAAAAAAAAATAAAAAAAAAAAAAATCTAATTTTTTTTTTAAGTAAATTGTATCCTAATTCCCTGTCTCATTGAGTTTGGGCATGACAAGTAGCAGCATTTTAAAAAACTGG